GTCAGTCTCCCGGTGGCGGCCCTGCCCCTGAGTGCTCTTTCACAGGTGTGGCCCAGGGCAGAGGGCATGCCAGCGCCTGCAGGAAGGACAGAGGTGGGCACCAGGCTCTGGCTACACTCACCATCCTCAGGAGGATGGGCCAGCCCAGCCCTTCATCCCAGACCCTCTTTCTGGAGGATGCATCGCCCCTTCTCACCCCAGGGGAGGGTGCTGACGGCGATTTCCAAGGAGAGAATGCCAGATTAGTCAGTGTCTTAACCAGCCATCGGGTGGTTCCTGGCTCAGTCGTCCAGTAGGAGCCATGCAAAGACCGTGGTCATTAATCAGAGACCAGTGATGGTGCCTGGAAAGGGTGCTCCCCTGCAGGGCACAGCTCGGCTGTCTGACCAGGGAGAGGCTGGTGTGCCGGCCACAGCATCAGCAGCAAACAGGGGTGCAGCAGAAGACAGGTAGGCAGGCCACGGTGACACCAGAGGAGGTCTCGCACATGGCAGGCTGGCAGCAGTCCGGGCTGCAGGCAGGCTGGCAGGAGGCAGCCGACCCATCCGCGGGCCAGCACAGCAGACAAGGGAGGGGAAAGCAGCAGGAGCTCCCGCAGCCCATGAGAGAGCAGCAGGCAGGGACAGGGACGGCAGATGGTTAGACTTGGGAGCAGCTAGCGTGGCACATGGTGGTGGTGGTGGTGGTGGGGCGGGCTGGTCTGGAGGCTCCTCCCCCAGGGTGGCCTTTATTACCCGGGCCTTGTGTCTTGGCAACATGTCCACTGTTTGCTGTTATTGCTGATGTCACGTCCCTGTTTCTGTTTTGGGTGCCCCATGAAGCCAGTCCAATAAAGAAAGCCCATGTGTAGAGGGCAGTCTCTGAGCTGGAGTGCCCAGTGCCAGGGTGGGGTTTTATTTTCTAAACTAGAGGCCCCGGTGCATGAAATTCGTGCACAGGTGTGGTCCCTAGGCCTGGCCAGCTATTGAGGCATGAGCACCTGGTGTGGAAGGGCAGGTCCCAGCTGATCTCTGGGCCCTGGGAAGCACTTGGGCCCCCAACCCCCCGTCCCGGCTCCCTCAGCGCCTGGGAGTCACTGCCGCCACTGTGGGGCAATTGGGCCCTGCTCGCATCTGCCTTGGCCTAGCACCACCCACTCACCTACTCCACCATCCCGCCATGGTCCCACTCTCATCAGGGCCGGCAGTGCCTCCATTGTCGCCTGCTGCCAGCGCTGCATCACCGATGCCCGCCATGTTCCCAGCCCCCAGTGGTCAGCACATGTCATAGCGAACGGTTGAACTCTTGGTCAAGGGGACAATTCGCATATTAGGCTTTTATTATATAGGACTAGAGGCCCGATGCACGAAATTCATGCAAGAGTAGGCCTTTCTTCCCCCCGGCTGCCGGCACCAGCTTCCCTCTGGCACCCGGGACCCGGCATCCCTCCCAGCCCTGGCTTCATCCGGAAGGTCGCCCAAAAGAACACCTGGTCTAATTAGCATATTACCCTTTTATTATTATAGATAAGTCCACCTGGGACTTGGGGAGCAAGGCTTCCTGCTGCTCCTCCCTGGGACGGCCAGACTCCACTCTGTACATGGCAGGGTTTGTGTGAGAGTTTCCTGCCCTCCCTGTTGTAGCAATTCTATTCTATTCTATTCTATTCTATTCTATTCTATTCTATTCTATTCTATTCTATTCTATTTATTTATTTATTTTTGTTGTTGAGAGTATTACAGATGTCCCCCTTGCCCCCTCCCATTTCTCCCCTTTGCCCAGTTCCTGCCCCACCCCAGGCCTTCACCACCCTACTGTCTGTGTCCATAGGTAAGATCTTTTTTTTTTTTTTTTAAATCTGAACAATAAAGATTGAATTTTTAAAAAAGAAGGAAAAAAATGGGGCAACAGCATCACAGCCATCAGGGATTGAGCTCAGGCAAGGCAGGGCGGGCGCTGTGCCCCTGTCATGGCAGCCACAGCAGCCTGGCGGTGGGGGGTGGGGGGGCTGGCTTTGGGGGGCCTGAGAGGAGCCCAGACTGCCAGCATCATCCCTGGACAAGAGCAGAGGCTCTGGCCCAGCTGGTTCTGCAAAAACCTCAAGGGCAGGCACCTGGTGGCTCCCAGAGCCTCCTGAGCTTAATTACTTAATCACACCCTGCGAGTACTTAATGATACCACTCGAGTGAACCCTCAAGCTGAGTGAGCGAGCGGTGGGTGGGACGAAGGGGGCTTCTGGGGCCGGAGGCCAAGGCATGGGCAGACTCGTTCCTGTGCTGTCAGCCCGCAGACATGGCGGTGGGTGCCCAATGGAATCACCCTGTGAGCCCAGCACTGAGGTCATTGGGGTCAGGAGGCCACAGGAAGGTGCTGATGGCACTCCTAGCCAAGACGGGCTTCAGGGAGCTGGGGGGCCTCCAGGTCGGGAGGTGCCTGGAATTTTAGGGGAGAAGCAGCCTCTGGGTGTGGCCTGCAGGGCTGGTGGCCGGGGCTCAGGCAGGTCTGAGAGCAGGAGGTGGAGGGAGCGGGTAGTGTGTGTCCACTGAGGGCGGTCAGAGCTGAGGAGACACTCCAGGTGAGAACATTTGTCTGCTGTACTTTTGGAGCCCAAGGTCAGTAGGACAGGCCCCAAAGAGTTCTTAGGGGGAAGGGGGCCATTTAGTGCTGGCATAGTCCCTAGGATGTGGGACACGGCCCCCCACATCCCCATGGTGGGCACCCACAGCCAGCTAAGTCTCCCTTAGCCCGTGTGCCCGGGGCCCTGCACAGGCTGGGCTGAGGAAGACAGACTCCACGGTCTAATGGCTCACTGGCTGCCTAGAACCCTTCTGGGCATAAGCTGCTCTCTCCACCCAGGGACACGCTCCCCCAACCTTCTTCAGGATCTGAATTCTGAGGCTGTGAGAAAGACATAGTTCAAATAGGTTTTTAATATCTTGCTCACTCTCTCTTCTCCTTTTGGCACCCCCATAATGCTGCTGTTGGTACACTTGAGGTTGTCCCAGATGCTTCTTATACTTCATATTTTTTTATTCTTTTTTTTTTCTCTTCTGATTGGGTATTTTTTGCTTCCTCATATTCCAAATCATTGATTTGAATCTTAGAATCCTCTACTCTACTGTTGAATCCCTATAAATTGTTCTTTGATTCAGTTAGTGTGTGCTTAATTTCTGACTGGTCCTCTTTCATGTCTTTGACAGTCTCACTAAGATCCTTGAAAGTCTCATGAAGATCCTTAAGTAACCTTATAACCATGGTTTTGAACTTTGTCTCTAATAGTTTGCTTGCTTCCATTTCTTTCATTTGTGAGGTTTCTTTGTCTCCTCATTTTGGCTGCTTCCCTGTGTTTGTTTCTATGTATTGGGTAGAGCTACTATGTCTCCTGAAATTGGTAGAGTGGCCTTGTGTAGTAGGTGTCCTGTAGGACCCAGTGGCTCAGCCTCCTCAGTCACCACAGCTGGGCACTCTAGATGCACCCCTGTGTGGGCTTTGTGCAGTTTTGTTGCTGAGCCTTGATTGCTGTTGGCGTCTCTGGGAGGAGTTGACCTCCAGGCCAATTGGCTGGGAGGACTAGCTATGACTACAGTGGGAGAGCTGCCATGCAGGATTCAAGGCCCAGCTGTGAAGCAAGGCAGGCTGGTGCTAGTGCCAGGTCTTGGACCTTTTATTGATAGGTTTGGGGCTGCCACCAGCTGCAGTTTGTTTAAGAGATTTTAGCAAAGCCTGAGCCAGGACCAGCCATTCATTTGGAAAAGCTGCTGCATACCACTTGGGTGGGGCTTCAAATTGGATTGGGCAGAACAAACAGTGTGGGCCACGCTGATATGGCTGCCAGTCAGCCCTGCGACAGAGGAGACCCCGGCGTGGGAACAATGAGCCTTGTGAGCACCCCTGTCTGGAAGAAAGCCACCCCTGGATTCCTGCCCGGATGCCAGACAGTCCAGTTCCTCCCTGTATGTGTCTGGGTCCCCCAGAGCCACCTGGTGCCGGAGCTCAGTGGTATCGAGTCCAAGTAAGTTTGTGCGCCAGCCCTTTAATAGGAACAGCTGGGTCTCCAGCAGCCTCCATGTCTCTCAGCCACAATTCCTGCTGGTTTTTACAGCCTGTAGTTATGGGGACTTTTCTTCCAGCTCTGAACCCTAGGATGGGAGTCTGGTGTGGGGCCGGGACCCCTTTCCCTTCTCCGGCAGCTTCCACAAAGACAACCTCCCTCCCGATTGAAAAACCGCACACGTGGGTGTTGTACCAGCCTGCTCAGCCCGGGCTCCCCTCCAACTAGTCTCATTGTGCTTTCTTCTTTACTTCTCTAGTTGTAGGACTTCCATTCAGCCAGCTTTCAGGTGGTTCTGAATGATGGTTGTTCTGTATTTTAGTTGTAATTTTGATGTGGTTGTGGGAGGTGGCGAGTACAGGCGTTTACCGATGCCACCATCTTGGTTCTTGTCACCCCTGTTGTAGCAATTCTTAAGGTACTCTATATGACCCAGGGCCCAAGACTGTTTTCCATCCCACACTCTGCTGGAGAGAAGTTTTCCCTCTGCCCTTTTGACAATGTCTTTGGTGGCAGCCTTGCGGATGGCACCTTCCCCGACCCCTCCACCCACAGAGGACACCCCCACCACTGAGGACACCCCCACTTTTAGCTGGGCTTTCCGTAGAGAGCTCTTTGAGGAGGTGCTGCTGTGCTTAGGCAGGTATCTGCCTTCAAAGAAAGAACTTGAAAATGTGAAGGAAAAACAGAGGCACAGCTGCGTGGAGAAAGAGGTTTATTTGCTCACACCAGGTGAGGTTTCCTGTTGGAGCCAGAGGGAGACCCTAAGTGCCAGGCTTCCCTGAGGGGATGCCCAGGGCCACGAGGGATCCAGATGGCCTGCCACCGTCCCCTCCTGGAGTTCAGAGGGCTTGTCGAACGTGCTTTTCATCTGCCTCATGCAGAACCTGGAGGCCCGCTGAGGCCTGGTTGTGGGAGAGTGCAGGTGTGGCCCGTCTGCACCGGGAGCAGCTGGGGAGGAGGCTCGCGGTCAGCAGCAGGAAGGGGTGCCACAGGAGATGGGTCTGCAGACCAGGGTGGGGCAGGAGGGCTGGATGCACCCAGAGGACTGGCAGGAGGAGGCCACACACACAACGGGCTTGCAGCTCACGGGCAGGCACACGGAGGACTGGCAGGAGGGAGCCATGCACACCATGGGTTTGCAGCTCACAGGCCAGCAGGGCGCCTGGCAGCTCACGGGTACATACACAGCTGGCCTGCAGCTCACGGGCAGGCACACGGAGGACTGGCAGGAACGGGCCGTGCACACGGTGGGCCTGCAGCTCACGGGCAGGCAGATGGAGGACTGGCAGGAAGGGGCCGTGCACACGGTGGGCCTGCAGCTCACGGGCAGGCACATGGAGGACTGTCAGGAAGGGGCCGTGCACACGGTGGGCCTGCAGCTCACGGGCAGGCACATGGAGGACTGGCAGGAAGGGGCCGTGCACACGGTGGGCCTGCAGCTCACGGGCAGGCACATGGAGGACTGGCAGGAAGGGGGCACACGGTGGGCCTGCAGCTCACGGGCAGGCACACGGAGGACTGGCAGGAAGGGGCCGTGCACACGGTGGGCCTGCAGCTCACGGGCAGGCAGATGGAGGACTGGCAAGGCTGGGCGAGCAGCAGCCAGCCTGGCCGCCTGTGTGGCAGCTGGTGTGGCACATGTTGTCCTGGGCTGGCTGGGGTGGGAGTGAGGGCGGAGATGTCTGCAGGCTCCTTCCCTGGCGGCCTTTATACCCAGGCTGTGGGCGTCCTGGCAACACAAAAGCATGACTGTTGACTTCCTCCTGCTTCCTCACGGCTGCTTCCTCGTGTTTCCAGCACCTTCTTTCCCGGGACGCGCTCTCCTGTGTGAGGCTCCACATAAACAAGCTTGGCTCCGAGGCCGGGTCCCCCCTGTAAACAGGGTGTTCTGGTTTGAGGACCTCTGGCTAGAGCGTTGGCCAACAGGCTGAAGGGTCTCAGGTTCGATTCCGGTCAAGGGCACATGCCCAGGTTGCGGGCTCGATCCCCAGTGTGGGGCATGTAGGAGGCAGCTGATCAATGATTCTCTCTCATTATTGATGCTTTGATCTCTCTCTCTCCCTTCCTCTCTGAAATCAATGAAAATATATTTAAAAAAATTTTAAAAACAAAAAGAAAAATATGGCTCCTTCTCCCAGTCAGCAGAGAGGGCTCGATGGGCAACTTCCGTGGTCCCCAGAGATGTCCTCGTCCTAATCCCAGAACCTGTGACTATGATGCTTGCAGGCAAAGCAACTTGAAGATGGGAGCCAATGAAGGGTTTTGCGATGGGAGATGGTCCCGGGTGATCCAGGGGCCCAATGTCATTACAGGGACTGATGAGGGGGCAGGGGGACCGGGCTACAGAACAGGAGGCCCCGGGAAGATGGAAGCAAGACGCTAGGCTGCCAGCTTAGAGCATGCAAAGGGGACCTCTAGGAGCCGAAGGGGACAAGGGACAGATTCTTCCGGAGCCTCCAGAAGGGTCCAGTCCCGCCCACGCCTTGACTTCAGCCCAGAGAGACCCATGGTAGGCTCTGGCCCCCAGAGCTGTGAGAGACAATATATTTGCGATGTTGTAGCCACTGTGTTCGTGGGCACTTGTTCTGGCCACAGGATAGACCCAGCCTTCGTTGCACAGTCTCCGGTGTCCACTCTTCCTCCATGATGCTGGTGGCTGCAGTGTGACCGTCAGGGGGTGGGGAGGCCCAGGGGAGGAGCAGGTGGCGTCCGGAGTGGGCTGCCGCTGGCTTCCCTTTGCCCAGCTGTGGGGAGTTTGAGCCCCTTCTACCTGTGCGCTCCTCCTGCTGAGCCTCTGTCCCATGCCTGCTGGCCAGGGAGGAGGCCCCACTCCAGATGATCCGTTCCCTTCTTAGGTGCTTAGCAGCAGGGGGGCTCCTGGTCAGGTCTGTCCTGCTCCAGGCTCTCCCCTGGCCTGCGCGTCCACCCTGTCCTGGGCCCCAGGGTCCACCCGGATTGTGGGGACTCTTGGGCAGCATTGCCCTTAGTCCTCCCACCCACGGAGCCCCCAGCACAGATTCCGGCCGTGTCTGCCCCAGGCCGTGGTGGTCCTCCTGCAGGGGACACTGTCACACAGCTCCTGACCAACAGGGTTTCTGCTGCTCCCAACTCCCCTTCACCTGGACGGGCAGGGGAACGGATGTGGGCAGGAGCCCATGTCCCTCAAGGTCCAAGCCTCCAGCACCCACACCCGCCTCCTGGGCCCGGCCTTGGAGGGCTGCTCACTGCGGGGAGGGTGGGCCGCTGGGTCGGGAAGGGAGGCGAGCGTCCAGCTGCTCTGAACTTAGACTGGAGAGCGTCTTTATTGTCTGGCTCCTACCAGACGGAGCACCCAGAGCCCAGATTTGGAGTGGCCCAGGGGTGCAGGGGAGGAGACAACAAACACACATTTCCTGGCACAAACATTTTATTGATTTAGCAATTGGCTTTTGTCACATGGAAAGCAAGGCATCAGTCCTGCAGAGGAGGCTCCTGGGGCCCCTAGTGCACCCAGTGAGGGATTTGTGGGTCCTCTCTTCTCAAAAAGGGATCGGGGGCATGTTCAAATCTGCATTAGGCGATGACTGTGGGTCCATGGACGGGAGAGGGGAGGGCCTGGCACCAGCAGAGGGGGGGGGAGGGTCTGGCACGAGCAGAGGGGCTCTGGGGGCTCCTGAGAGAGGAGAACTGTGCTCAGGAGCAAGGAGAACAGCTCCAGAGGCAGAAGATGGAGCTGCTCAGCAGCAGGACTTCTGGGCCGAGGTGGGGACGCAGCAGGCCGGGCGGGAGCACAGGGGGCGGCAGAGCAGGGACATGCAGGAGGATGGGCGGCAGCAGCTGGGCTGGCAGGAGGAGGTGGGGCCACAGCAGGAGGAGGCAGGGCCACAGCAGGAGGAGGTAGGCACACAGCAGGCAGGCCTGCACACAGGGCGGCAGATGAGGGACACACAGGAGGAGGGTCTGCAGCAGGAGGTGGGCTGGCAGCAGGAGGAGCTTGCGCAGGGGCCGGTCTCAGAGCAGATGGGCACACAGCACACTGGCTTGCAGCAGACAGGTGTGCAGCAGACAGATGTGCAGCACACGGGCTTGCAGCAGACAGGTGTGCAACAGACAGGTGTGCAGCAAGTGGGCTTGCAGCAGACAGGCACACAGCAGGCCTGCTGGCAGGGGCAGGAGGTGCAACAAGAGGGCTGGCAGCAGCTGGGGACACAGCAGGTGGGCTGGCAGCAGCTGGGGACACAGCAGGTGGACTGGCAGCAGCTGGGGACACAGCAGGTGGGCTGGCAGCAGCTGGGGACACAGCAGGAGGGCTGGCAGCAGCTGGGGACACAGCAGCTGGGGGCGCAGCAGGAGGGCTCACAGCAGCTCTCTGGACAGTCGTCCACCTGCCAGGAGGAGTTGGTGCAAGAGTCACTGGAACCGGGCAGGCAGACGCGGCTGTCATAGCTCAGGTTGCTGGAGCAGACGGACAGGGCAGATGCGGCCATGGTGGGGCGGTGGGGCTGGAGGTGAGCTGGGAGAAGAGTGTGTGAGGGGGTGAAGGTGAGTGAGTGTGCGAGGTGCTGGAACTGTCCAGCTTTTATACGCCTCCCTGGGTGCCTGTGTTGTCCCCGCAGGAGGCTCACGCCCTCCCTTCCTTGTTGGTGTTTGCACTGTGAGCACCTTCATTATGGTCAGTCCTCTTGTCATGAGATGTCCTTGCTCAGATCATAAATGTTTGTCCTGGACGGGCTGGTTTCCCGGGCCTGAGTCTGACCCCTGCAGGGATGCCTGGAAGGAAGCCACCGCTTCTCCTTGGCTGACCCTTCGGATTCCACCTGGAGGCACCTGGTGGCAGCTGGGCCCTGGGGACGCACTCTGTGGGCCCAGCCTTTGGTGCCCTCACCTGGGCTGGAGGCCTGGCCTGTGATTGGAAAAGAAGTTGAACAGGCCTGGCCTGTTCTGAGGGAAAGGCAACGTGAGGACAGGCCCTTCCTGGGGGTGGTCTGTGAACTTCCATGGTGTCGGCTGAGGGCTGCAAGGGCGATGAGGCTGAGGACAGGGAGGGACCTCCTCTCGCCAAGGAGAGGCAACTTCCAGCGGGCCTGGCCCCTGGGTTGTTAGGGGACCAGATTCACAGGCGGACCTGTGGGTCCTGAAGCACGTGCCTGAAGCCGTGGGCAGCTCCTGGGAGAGGCACGTCCTGGGTAGGACCTGTGGCTGGGGTGGGTTAACCTGGAGGAGGCAGCATGGACGAGGCTGGGGGACAATTCATCAACCACAACCCAAAGGGAATCTTCATGAGATATAAATTGAGGATACTGAGCTTCTGGAAAATATTTGCAATATGCATGTTTAGTGTGAACATTAAAAAGTCCTTACAACTAAAGCAGAGTAAGATACCAAAGGATCAAATACAAAATTCAAAACACTCAGGTTTTTAATAACCATAGGCAAAGCTATTCACCTTGTTAATAATTAAAATTTCTCAAATTAAAACCTAGCTGTTCCCCTGTAAGAACAGCCAAGATTTACAATATGCTCATCATGTGCAGTGCGGCTGAGCGTGGGGCCTCGCTCTCAGGAGCACCTAAAAGGCGTGTTTTTCATGCCTGTGTGATAACACATACTATAACATTTACCAACTTAACCATTTTAAAGTCTACAGTTTAGTGGCATTTAGTGCAGTCACAGCGTTGTGCAACCATGACCCCTCTCTAGTTCCAGAACATTCTCATCACTTAATAGTAAATCCTAAGCTATTAAGCAGTCCCTTCCTGTCCCTGCCAATCACTACTCTGCTTTCCTTCTCTATGGATTTGCCCAATTCTGCACATTTCGTGGAAAACAAATCATACACGATGTGGCCTTTCGTGTCTGCTTATTTCACGGAGCACAAAGTTTTTCAAGGTTCATCAGGTTGTAGCAGGTGTCAGCGCTTCACTCTTTTTTATGGATGATATTCCATTGTATGGACATACCACAGTTTATTTATCCCTTCATTAGTTGATGGGGGCATTTGAGTTGTCTCCACCTTTGGCTAATATGAACAATGCTGCTGTGAACATTTTTGTGTAGGTTTTTGTTTGACCACCTCTTTTCAATTCTCTTGGGTATACACCTAGTAGTGGAATTGCTGGGCCGTGCGGTAACTCTATGTTTAACTTTTCGGGAACTGACAGACTATGTCCCACAGTGACTGCCTAATTTTGCATTCCCAACAGCAATGTATGAGCGCTGCATTTCTTCACACGCTTGCCCACACTGTTGCTGTTTATTTAGTTTTTAATTAGAGTTGCCCTCGTGGGGATGAAGTGGCATCTCGTTGTAGTTTTGATTGGCATTTCCCAAATGACCAATGGTATTGGGCTTCCTTCCATGTGCTGTTGGCTGTTTGTATGTCTCCTTTGGAGAAATGTCTATCAAAGTGCTTTGCCCATTTTTAATCATGTTGTCTTTTTGTCATTGAGTTGTAGGAGTTCTTTATGTCTTATGTAGACTAGACTCTTATCAGGATTATAATTTGCAAGCGTTTTCTTCCATTCTGTGGGTTGTCTTTTCACTCTCTGGATACTGCCCTTCAATATAACAAACTTTAAAATCTTGATGAAATCCAGTTTTGTTGATTGTGCTTTTAGCGTCATATCTAAGAAACCATTGCCAAATCTAAGGTCATGCAGGTTTGCCCCTATGTTTTCTTCTTAAAATTATAGTAGCTTTAGCTCTTATATTTAGGTCTTCAATCTATTTGAGTTCATTTTTTCTTTTTGGTTGTCAAATGATCTTTAATTGAAATATTTTCCTTTGTAGTTCTTAACTAACGGGGCATTTCCCTGCAGCACTGCTGATGTCATCTGTGATGTCATCTATGATGTCATGAGTGTGACGGCGTCAACATTGCAGCCCACAGACTGTGCAGTCCCCAGGATCCCTTTAATGGTTCCAGAGAGTTCTCTAGCTAAAGATCGGTGCTGCACTGTCGGGCTGACAATCTCATCAAAAGTGGCATTTCCACTGTGCTTCATGTTTTCTTGCTTCTTTCTGTCTCATTGCAGTTCTTTGAGGGCTTTGATGATCAGGGCCGAGGCAGAAGGCACTGCCTCAGTCTGGGCCTGTCTGTCCTGAACAGTCAGTTTCACTATAACCTTAAGATCTTTCCCATCATTGGTTGCCTTAGTGATGTCATCACCAACCATTTTTAGAGACAGGCCCGGAGGTCAGTCTTGGGGGCCAGCACAGACACAGCACCGATTTCCCCCTGCTGCACCTCAGGTATCTGACTTCAGTCTTGTTGGGGTTAAAATTCGGCAGCATGGTGGAGGTGGCTGATGTCAGATAAACCCAGATTTGTATGAAGAAACTTGCACCTAAGGCTTCTCTGAGCCGAAACTGAGTTAATTTTTATATATGGTGTGAGCTAGGGTTCAACTTCACTCTTTTGCATGTAAATATCTAGTTGTCTCAGTAACATTTGTTGAAGAGACGATTCTTTCTCCATTGAATGGTCTTGACACTACTGTTAATAATCAATTGGCCATATATTTGTGGGGTTTTTTTCTGGATTCTCAATTTTATTCCATTGATCTATATGTCTGTCCTTATGCCAGTACCTCTGTTTTGATTACTGTAGCTTTGTAGTAAGTTTTCTTTCTTTCTAATTTGAATGTCTTTTCTTTTCTTTTCTTTCCTTTTCTTTCTTCTCTTTTCTTCTTTCTCTTCTCTTCCCTTCCCTTCCCTTCCCTTCCCTTCCCTTCCCTTCCCTTCCCTTCCCTTCCCTTCTCTTCCCTTCTCTTCCCTTCTCTTCCCTTCTCTTCCCTTCCCTTCCCTTCCCTTCCCTTCCCTTCCCTTCCCTTCCCTTCTCTTCTCTTCTCTCCCAATTGCTCTGTCGAGAACTTCCAGTACAGTGTTGAGTAGAAGTGGTAAAAGTGGGCATCCTTGTCCTGTTTGTCTTAGAGGAAAGGCTGTTAGTCTTCCATCGTTGAATATTGTCAGCTGTGGGTTTTTCATAATGTTCTCTATTATGCTGAGGAAGTTTCCTTCTATTCCTAGTTTGCTGAGCATTTTGTATTGTGAAAGAGATGGCTTTTGTCAAATGCTTTTTCTGTAGCATTTGGGATGACATGGTTTCCCCCTTCATTCTATTGACATGGTGCATCACACTGATTGGTTCTCACATGTTGAATTATTCTTGCATTCTTGGGATAAATCCCACTTGCTCATTGTGTATAATTCTTTTAATATAATGCTGGATTTGGTATAATTGTATTGGATATTGGTCTGTAGTTTTCCTTTGTTATCTTTCTCTGGCTTTGACATCAGGATAATGCTGACCGACCTCACAGAGTAAGTTAGGAAGTGTCGCCTCACATTGTGTTCTTTGGGGTGGATGAGAAGGGTTGGTGCCATGTCTTCTGTTAATATTCAGCAGAATTCAGCATTGAAGCCACTGGGCCCTGCACTTTTCTTTTGGGGGAGGGTTTTTTTTTTATTACTGATTCAATCTCATTACTTGTTTTATGTCTCTTCAGCTTGTCTATTTATTATTGAGTCAGTTCACTCACTTTAGGTCCAAAGGTACAAAATATATTGAAAACGAAAGATTGAAAAAAGATATTTAATGCAAATAGTAGCCAAAAGAAATCTGAATGGTTATAATAAAATGGCAAAATAGATTTTAAGTCAAAATTATTGTCAGAGACAAATAAGACTTCAACTATTGATAAAAGGTCAATATATCAAGAATATTTGACAATTATAAACATATATATCTAGCAACAGACTTCCAAAATACATAAAGAAAAAATTTACAGAACTGAAAAAAGAAATAGACAATTCCAATTCTACAATAATACTTGGAGACTTCAATAAGTCATTTTCATTAATTTAAAAAAATGAAATGGTAGAACAACTAGATCAAAAATGAGCCCTAGCCAGTTTGGGTCAGTGGATAGAGTGTCGGCCTGCAGACTGAAGGGTCCCGGGTTCGATTCTGTCCAAGGGCACATGCCCCGGTTGCAGGCTCGATCCCCAGTAGGGGGCATGCAGGAAGCAACCAATCAATGATTCCCTCTCATCACTGATGTTTCTGTCTCTCTCTCTCTCTCTCTCTCTCTCTCTCTCTCTCTCTCTCTCCCTTCCTCTCTGAAATCAATAAAAATATATTTAAAAAAAAGATCAACAATGAAATAGAGGACTTGAAGAACACTATAAAGCAACTAGACCTAACAGACATGTATACAACACTCAACTCAACAGCAGCAGAATACACATTTTTCTTAACAGCACATGGGATATTCTCCTGATTAGACTATATGTTAGGCCACAAGACAAATCTCAATACATTTAAAAATATTGAAATCACACAAAGTATCTTATCTGATCACAATGAAATGAAACTAGAATCAATTACAGAAGGAAAACTGAAAAATTTACAAATATGTGGAAATAAAACAACAAAGAAACAACAAATGGGTCAAAAGAAGAATTGGGAAGTTGAAAGTACTTAGAGATGAATGCAAATGAAAACATAATAAACCAAAACTTAAAGAATACAGAAAAACAATACTCAGAGGAAAATTTATAGCTATCGACACAATTAAAAAGAAGAAAGGTTTCAAATCAATAACCTAACTTTACACCTTAACAAACTAGTAAAAGAAGAGCAAATTAAAGGAAATAAAGATTAGGATACAGATTAATAAAATAGAGACTAGAAACACAATAGTGCGATCAATGAAACCAAAAGTTTATTCTTGAAAACAACAACAAAATTGACAAAACTTTAACTAGATTGGCTAAGAAAAAAAGAAAGAAGACTCAAATTACTAAAGTCAGAAGTAAAAATGGGGCATGTTACTGCCCTTACATAAATAAAAAGGAGTGTAGGAGAACACTGTGAACTATTCACTGAAAAGTTAGACCTAGACATAATGGAAAAATCCTTAAAACACACACACTACTGAAACAGATACCTTATTGGTGTTCTTTATTTCTTCTTATGGCTCCAAGTTACTGATTAGTGCCCTTTTATTTCAGCCTGAATTATTATTTCTTGTAGGGCAGATCTACTAGTAATGAACTCTTTCAACATTTATTTATTTGGATATGTCTTAATGACGCCTTCATTTTTAAAGGACATTTTTGCTGGATATAGAGTTCTTGATGGACAATTTTTAATGCACTTTAAATATGGCATCCTACTGCCTTCTGGTCTCACATTTTTTAGATGGGAAATTGGCTGTCAATCTTCTCTCTTGCGATTTTTAAGATTCTCTCTTTGTCTTCTAGTAATTTGATTATAATGCATCTCAGTGTGAATCTCTTTGAGTTTATTCTGTCTGAGTTTATTGAGCTTCTTGGATGTAGAGTCCTGTTTTATCAAATTTGGGAAGTTTTTGACCATTATTTATTTATTTTTTAAATCATCACTCAAGGATACGTTTTTATTGATTTTTAGAGAAAGAAGAAGGGAGAGAAAGAAACATTGATATGAGAGAGAAACATTGATTGATTGCCTCTCACATATGCCCTGAGCAGGGATCAAACCTGCAACCTAAGTATGTGCCCTGATTGGGAGTTAAACCTGCACCTTTTGGTGCATGAGACAACGCTCCTACCAACTAAGCCATCCAGCCAGGGCTTGACCACTATCTCTTACAATTTTTTTCTGCTCTTTTCTCTCCCTCATCTTTCTGGGACTCCATTTAGTATATGTGGTTGTGCTTGATGGTGTCCCACAGGTGCCTTAATCTCTATTCATTTATCTTCATTTCATTTATTTTATCTGCTCCTCAGACAACAGTATTTCAATTGACCTATCTTCACTCTCACTAATTCTTTCTTCTGCCTGCTCAAATGTGCTATTCAGACCCTCTAGTGAAGTTTTCATTTCAGTTATTGTACTTTTCAACTCTGAATTTTCATTTGGTTCCTTTTTCTATTTCTGTCTCTTTATATATACTATATTTGGTGACACATAATTCTCTTGGTTTCTCTTAACTCTTTGTCCATGGTTTTTATGAACTCTTAGAGTATATTAATAAAGTTGACCTAAAGACTTTGTCTAGTAAACTCAATTCCTAGACTTTACATGCCTTGTAATTTTTTAAAAAACATTTTGAATATTATAATGTGACTAGAGGCCCGGTGCACGGATTCATCGAGGGACACTGGTGGGGTCCCTTGGCCTGACCTGCACCCTCTTGCAATCCAGGACCCCTCAGAGGATGTCAGAGAGCCGGTTTCGGCCCGATCCCTGCAGGCCAGGCTGAGGGACCCCACTGGTTCACGAATCTGTGCACCAGGCCTCTAGTATGCATATAAGATCTTTGTATAATCTCTTCCCACCCTCCCCCTCTCCCCTTCCCTCTGAGATTCATCAGTCTGTTCCATGTTTCCATGCCTGTGATTTCCACTCCTGTGTTGAGGGTCTGGCCCCTGGTGGTCAGTGCGCATTATAGCAACCGGCAGGTCGGCCGGTCACTTAGGCTTTTATATAGAGAGAGCTTTTATATATATAGATAATTGACATCAGATTCTCCTCCCTTCATATAGTTTGTTGTTGCTGATTGTTGTGGCTTTTTGTTTGTTTGTTTAGCAACTCTTTTAAACTATTTTGTAGTGACTGTACTCTTTGTCATGTGTGGTCTCTGTTAGTAGTCAAATAGTAATTTGACCGACAGTTCCTTAAACACCTGGATCCCCCAATTTTATTTCCCCTCCCAGTCTTTTTAGCTGGGCTCTGTTGGAACATGCCTTCAACCCTCAACTAGACAGTTTACAATTCTGCCTTCACCTTCACTTCCTGCTTGCTCAGAGCTTGAAGTGCAGTCAGAGGTGAGTATTTAAGGCCTTCTCAGGTCGTTTCTGAGCACGCACCCCCTCATATGTAACATGGAGCTTTGAGACTCCCAGGAATTGGTGGAAGCTTTGAAAACCTTATTCTTGAAAGCATCTCATTCCCCAGTTTGTCAGTCTGGGCTCATCAGGGTGTCTTCTGTTTGCCACAGCTGATACTCTTCCCTCGGGTGCCTTCACTTGTTTACGTGACAAGCACTGCCATGCACATGCCTCCATGCCTTGAGGAAGTTCTGAGTTGGGAGAAATAAAGGCAAGCCCTTTGTGTGAGTCCTTCAACAAGCCACCAGGCAGGTTAAAACAAACAACCACGCTTACAGCGGTTCTCAACCTGTGGGTCGCGACCCCTTTGGCGGTCGAACGACCCTTTCACAGGGGTCGCCTAAGACCATCCTGCGTATCAGATATTTACATGACGATTCATCACAGTAGCAACATTACAGTTGTGAAGTAGCAACGACAACAATTTTATGGTTGGGTCACAACATGAGGAACTGTATTGAAAGGGCCAGAAGGTTGAGAACCGCTGCTAAGACAAGGTCTGCCGTGCTCCCTCCAGCACCAGGACTCACCGGGAACAGCACAGGCTGCTGAGTTCAGACTGCGGCTGAGCGGGGACGGGTGGCGCAAGGGACTGCGAACACGCTGCAAAGTGGTTCCATGTGGCTGCACCTGCGTTTTCTCTTGACAAAGCATTTCCTTGGCTGTTTTAAACCTTTGACCATTTTCCAGAGTTAGATACAGCTGATTCTGTCAGCTTTGCCACCCGCCCCCCCCCCGCCCCCCGCCCACAGTGTTTGGGGAAGGAAAGCTTAGAGTTTCCTATTTTCTCCGTTTTCTGACATTTTAGTGGCACAACTTTGAAAAGTCCTTAGAAGGGCATTTGTCAGTATCTCTCAGAATTTAAAATTGGCAAACATTCCGGCCTAGAAATGCCACGTCAAGCAATGCAAGCGCCATGAAGACATGCATTGGTGCACATGGGTATACGGTATGTGAGGCCCCTCATGGTGGGGTTTGTAATAATCAGGACTAGAAAGACTTTAAATGCCTGTCCATCTGTACGGTACATAAATTGATAATGGCGTGTCCACACTTTGGGAGGATGCATACCTCGGCAAAGGAATCATGATAAAATATGTTTCTTATCAAACTGGCAAAGATAGAGAAATGTGAGCCTCCATGTTGCAAATCTGTGCTATTTAAAAAAAAAAATTAATCCTCACCTGAGGACATGTTTATTGATTTTTAGAGAGAGGAAAGAAGAGAAGGAGAGGGAGAGAGAAAGAGACAGAGAGAGAGAGAAAACATCAATCGGTTGCCTCCTGTATGTGCCCCAACTGGTGATCAAATCTGCACCTAGGTATGTGCCCTGATGGGGAATTGAACCCACAACTTTCTGGTGTAGGGAGCGATACTCACCGAATTGAGCCACCGGCCGGGACAATCTGTGCTATTATACAGACCCAGAACTGCTTATGGGCAGTGTGGTGATCTTCACATCACCAGTGACTGCACGCTTTGCTCTGCAGTCCTAGTTCTGGGAGTCTGTTCTCAGATTTGCTCAATCGTGTGTGAACTTGCATCTGGCCACATCTGGACACACGTGTTCACATCTACCTCCCACTTCATGGTTTGGACTCGCTCCCACATGTTCTGGACGTTCCACACCAATGCCGGCCGGGATCCTCCCTTCCCCACCTGCTCTCCCTCAGCCCAGCCCAGCCCAGCAGGTGGAGCTCTGAAGGCTGCGTCCTGGTCTCTGCCCTCGGTGGCCTAGTAGCTGGATCAGTGCCAGGGCACAGGGTGTGTGTCCCAGTGTCTATGACTGAGTGTGAGTTCTGGGTGCCCAGCCATCCCAAGAGGCCAGTCTGGGCGCTATGCCAGGCGGGGCCCACAGGATTGGGCCCGGAACAAAGCTGGGACCCTGCACGACCTGTGATGGTGGTCAAACAGCCGAATGGCATGAAGGGGACATGAGCTTCCAGGTGTCATGTGCAAGAGCCCCTCAAAGTTCCCTAAACTGGTGATATCACGACAGCCGAGGGCACAGGCCTCAGCACTGCCCCGCCCACCCCCAGATGTGTGCAGTCTCATGAAGGGCCAGAGAGGGGAGCAGAGTTTTTATTGGTGCTCAGAGGTTGAGTGACACTGCTCTGTGCAGGACCGGGGTCAGGCAGGGCCCATTCCTGACCAAAGGAGGGCTATGGCCTTGAGCCAGGAAGCGTGGTGTGGCGCAGCCAGGGCAGCCAGGGCCATGGTCAGGAGAGGAGCTTAGTGAGCTTTCAGGGCCCCAACCTGGGCTGGGCTGGAGGAAGTGGGGCTGAGCTACACCCAGAGAGGGTGAGCCAAGGAAGCTGGCGGTCAGGGGCTTCCAGGGGCTTCTAGGTGCTGGTGAGTAGGGAGAATCCCTGGGCCTGCTGGCCCTGGAGAGAAGTCTGCCAAGGTGGGGACGTAGCAGGCTGGGTGGGAACACATGGAACTACAGAGCAGGGACATGCAGGAGGACGGGCGGCAGCAGCTGGGCTGGCAGGAGGAGGCAGGGCCACAGCAGGAGGAGGTGGGCACGCAGCAGGCAGGCCTGCACATGGGGCGGCAGATGAGGGACACGCAGGAAGAGGGTCTACAGCAGGGTGAGCAGCAGTAAGTGGGCTGGCCGCATGAGGGAACTGGGCAGGGGGTGGCCCCAGAGCAGACAGGCACATACACACAGGTTTGCTGCACACAGGTGTGTAGAAGACAGGTGTGCAGCAGACAGGTGTGTGCAGCAGACGGGCACACAGCAGGCCTGCTGGCAGGGGGAGGAGGTGCAGCAGGAGGGCAGGCAGTTAGACTGCTGGCAGCAAGAGGGCGTGCAGAAATTGGTGCAGGTTGATTGGCAGGTACTGGGCCCACAGGCCCTCTGGCAGCAGGGGCTGGACATGTAGCTCACAGGGGCACAGATAAGGATCAGGCAGGGGGCTGGGGTGCAGCTGGTGGACTGGCAGCAGCTGGGGGTGCAGCAGGGGGGCTCACAACAGCTCTCTTGGCAATTGTCCACTTGCCTGGAGGAGCCAAGGAGAGTGGTTGGGGCGCAGACATGGCTGCCACAGCTCAGGTCGCTGCAGCAGACGGACAGGGTAGACGCGGCGGTAACAGGTTCTGGAGCAGCAGGTGTCGGCCATGCCACACTTCTGAGTGTGGCTGGTGACGGCTGGTCACTGGAGGAGTGTTTGAGTCCTGAGAGCAAGTGCTGAGATGCAGATCCTAAAGGACGGCTCAGGAGGTGGGTGTGACTCTGAGCCTAGCCCCTCTGTGCACCTCTAGCGTGAGTTCCAGGCTCAGGGTGCTTTGCACCAGCAGATGCTGCACTTGTGTCCCACACCCTCCTCCATGGAGCAAGGGGGCCTTGGGCAAGAGAAGTGCCCCCTTGCCTGTGCCACCCCCAAACCCCATGGGGGTGTCCATGGCTCTTCTCTGGGTGCCTTTCTCCCAATGTCCGTCCTAGACCCCGTTCTTAGTTCCCCTTTTATCTCAAAATTACCGAATACCGTGCACATTCTGTTATTTCTTCAGTTTTCAGTTTTAGATACAAGCTGATTTCTGTGGAGGAGGAAGGCACTCCTTCTTTGCCACCAGCCCCGTGAACCCCCCTCTTCCCAGCCCCAGAAGGCAGTCAGACCTAATATTGGTTACATCTGTGTTCACACCGTATTATTTAACTGAGTGTTGTTCACAGCCACATCTGTATAGTGCAGTGGTTCTCAACCTTCTGGCTCTTTAAACACAGCTCCTCATGTTGTGACCCAACCATAAAATTATTTTTGTTGCTACTTCATAACTGTAATGTTGCTACTGTTATGAATCGTAATGTAAATATGTGATATGCAGGATGGTCTTAGGCGACCCCTGTGAAAGTGTCGTTCGACCGCCAAAGGGGTCGCGACCCACAGGTGGAGAACCGCTGGTATAGTGGGTTAACATGGTTACGTGTACGTGTGTTGTTTTTTTGCTTGCTTTTCCTTTCTTAGGGTTAACGATGGCTTCGTGTGTGTGTTTGCTTGTTGTCCTGTGTGCCTGTCCTCAAAAGTCCCTGAGCTCCGCTCAAGGCATCAGGTGACCAGTCAGCTTCACTGAGAAACCCCTCCTGGAGCCCCTGTGGCTGCGGGCTGGCCCCACCGGTGCAGAGGCGTCACCCGGCTTCTCTGTTCACTGTTTGTCTGGATGTTCCCACCTCTCCCCAGTCACGGAGCTCTGACTTCCTGGATGGAGTGTGGTTTCCTCCCTGGGCTTTGGCCCTTGTTTTGGGGGAGCACACCCCCCCAGAAGCTTCTGAAAATGGTGCATCAGAGAGGAACGATGGAGCCCAGCATGGTTAACAATGCCTCTGTCCTGCCTTCGTGGCTGATGGATAGCTCCCTGATGAGTACAGCTGCTCACTGAACATCTGAATATCTTTTCTTACAGGTGCTTGTTCTAGCCCAGCGTGGGCAAACTACGGCCCGCGGGCCGGATCCGGCCCGTTTGAAATGAATAAAACTAAAAAAAAAAAAATATCGTACCCTTTTATGTAATGATGTTTACTTTGAATTTATATTAGTTCACACAAACACTCCATCCATGCTTTTGTTCCGGCCCTCCAGTCCAGTTTAAGAACCCATTGTGGCCCTCGAGTCAAAAAGTTTCCCCACCCCTGGTCTAGCCATTTGCTTGTCTTAGTTAAATAGGGTTATTGTACGTTTTGACTTGTAGAAAATGATTACATATTCTGAATCTGAGTTCTTTGTTGCCTATGTGCAGGGTCTGCGGGTAAATGTTTAATAACTGGCTGCCTTGAAACAAAAACAACACAAAAGCCCCGATTGAGGTGTTTGCCCATTTCCATGGTGTAACTATTCTCACAATTGCTCCCAATGTGATGTTACTGAACACTGAGCTGGGAAGAGAGGTGCCTGGTCAGCTCTCAGGAGCTAGGGGAGGCGGCCTCAGCGCACCCCTGGGGGTCTGTGCCTTGCGAATCTCTCCTCCCGCCTGGGGCTGTGTTTTTCATCCTCCTGGTCATACTCTGTTACCAAGTCAGTGTCACTCAAGTGGGATTTACATGTTGTAACATGTGCCTGTCTACACTCTAGGCCTGTGTGCTATGATCAGACTTGAACATTGTTTTCATTCTGATGGGTGTTGGGGTCCTCAGCCCCCTCCCCCTACCCTGTTTCGATGACTCTCTAGAGCTCTTAGGATTCAGTACACAGAGCTAAGTCAGCGCAGGAAAAGGCTCCTGGGGAGGTGGTGGGGACATCAGGTGCAGCTCCCAGGGCCTGTCCCGGTGGATCATGCAGGAGGCACTGAACTGCTCACAGAGAGTGTGACAGCACCTGTGCGATGTCTACCGGGGACCTTGTCCTAGATCAGGGCCCAGGGTTTTATCGGGGGCTGGTCACATGGCACCTGTGCCCGGCACTTACCCAAATCCCAGGCTCCAAGAGGGAGAGCAGGTGTCAGCACAGGCGGTTCAGGCCCATGGAGGCACCCTAGTCACATGTGCTGGGGACCTGCTGTGCGAACCCCTTCCTGAACCAGCCCTTCTGAGTGGGACGCTGAAGACAGCCTGAGTCACCCCTGAGGAGTTGCCCCTCCCCAGGGCAGGCACCGCTGTCAGATGATTCAGCTTTTGTGTCCAGAAAGTATGTCCACCTCCTGGACATAGATGTGGTCAGAGTGAGGGGGTGCTCCCAGGTCACCACTGAGGGGCAGGAACATGGTGGCCCAGGGAACGTACTGGGACCAACCCTACCTGGGGGATGTCAGGTAGGGGTCTTTGTTGTAAACAACAGAAATGAATCCTGTAAATGCATCAGGCAAGGACTTTATTGGAGGGGACAGACCGTACACAGAATGGGGGTGGGGTGGGGGGAGTGAAGAAGCCAGCATAGGAGGCAGTGGGGTGCTAAGCCACACGGGTGAGGTGGCGAGGAGAAACCAGCTTCTCTCCCTTCACTCCTCTCAAGGCTCCAAGATCTGGAGCGTCCAGCTGGCGTCGCTGGGGTCACTGCCAGCCGGGCTGGGTGGCAGGGCACGTTGCTTTGGGGGAAGTCAGTGGAGAAATGGGTGACCTGTTTCCAGAGGGAGAAAGGCACAGCGGTGGCCAGGAGACCACAGATGGGACTTGGCAGCGTCCTGGCTCTTAGTAAAGAATCCTGGGGTGCAGATGGCAGTGAGCTCTGGAGTGTTTGGGTGCCCTTAAGAAGATCACTCAGCAGCAGGACTTCTGGGCCGAGGCGGGGATGCAGCAGGCCGGGCGGGAGCACAGGGGGCGGCAGAGCAAGGACATGGAGGAGGACGGGCAGCAGCAGCTGGGCTGGCAGGAGGAGGTGGGGCCACAGCAGGAGGTGGTCACACAGCAGGCAGGCCTGCACACGGGGCGGCAGATGAGGGACACGCAAGAGGAGGGTCTGCAGCAGGATGAGGTGCAGGGGGTGGGCTGGCAGCACGAGGAGGCCCCAGAGCAGACGGGCACACAGCACAGGGGCTTGCAGCAGACAGGTGTGCAGCAGACGGGTGTGCAGCAGGCCTGCTGGCAGGGGGAGGAGGTGCAGCAGGAGGGCTGGCAGCTAGACTGCTGGCAGCATGAGGGTGTGCAGGAGCTAGTGCAGGCTGATTGGCAGGGACTGGGATCACAGGTCACCTGACAGCAGGGGCTGGACATGCAGCTCACTGGGGTGCAGATGAGGGTCAGGCAGGAAGCTGGGGTACAGCAGCTGGGGGCACAGCAGGTGGACTGGCAGCAGCTGGGGGCACAGCAGGTGGACTGGCAGCAGCTGGGGGCACAGCAGGTGGTTTGGCAACAGCTGGGGACACAGCAGGTGGACTGGCAGCAGCTGGGGACACAGCAGGTGGGTTGGCAGCAGCTGGGGACACAGCAGGTGGGTTGGCAGCAGCTGGGGGCACAGCAGGTGGGTTGGCAGCAGCTGGGGGCGCAGCAGGAGGGCTCACAGCAGCTCTCTGGACAGTCGTCCACCTGCCAGGAGGAGTCGGTGCAGGAGTCACTGGAGCCGGGCAGGCAGGCGCGGTTTCCATAGCTCAGGTTGCTGGAGCAGACGGACAGGGCGGATGCGGCCATGGTGGGGCAGTGGGGCTGAGGTGAACTAGGTGGAGGGTGTGAGTGTGAGTGTGAGTGTGAGTGTGAGTGTGTAAGGTTCCTGGGCTGTTGGCTTTTATACCCTCTCTGGCTGTGTTTCCCCGCAGGATGCTCGCACGGCTTCTTCCTTGTTTGTGTTTGGGACACAGGGAACTCTCATTAGTGCGGGTTTGTGTTTTCGTTCTGCAGGTTGTTGCTCAGCGATATCGCTCCTAGGGCAGTGATGGCGAACCTTTTGAGCTCGGCGTGTCAGCATTTTGAAAAACCCTAACTTAACTCTGGTGCTGTGTCACATATAGAAATTTTTTGATATTTGCAACCATAGTAAAACAAAGATATATATTTTTGATATTTATTTTATATATTTAAATGCCATTTATCAAAGAAAAATCAACCAATAATATGATTTCTCGTGTCACCTCTGACACGCGTGTCATAGGTTAGCCATCACTGTCCGAGGGTGTTGTGTGCTCTGCTGATGCATCCCAAGCTGCCTTTAGTTCATAACATTGAGGTAGAAGGGGTGTGTGTCTGCAAATAGCATGCCCCGGGGTCTGAGTTGGCCTCACGAGAGAACCATCCCTCCTAGTCCAGCTGCCCTTTCTGGACACCTGGGATGTCCTGCGAACACTTGGGGATTCTGAGCGTTTGAGTGCCACGGCTTCCCTAGTGCCTGGCTGGAGAGGCCTGGGCCAGAGAGGGCAGAAGGTGCAGCATTTCTAACTGTGGTTCCCCAGCACGCCCTCCGGTTCAGGGACTCCCCTGGGGCAGGTGGCAAGCAGGTAAAGTTGGAAGGTCTGCCAGTGGCACCTCCATGTCCCTGGGTGGGCAGTGCACACCCCTGTCACCTGCCTGTGCGCTCAGTGAGGGACAGACCCCGCGCCTGTCCACAGCCTCCCCACGCCATCAGCATGTACCTGACCCTGAGAGCTGTGTGTGTGAGCCCGAGGTCCCTGTCCGCCTCCCTGCAGAAAGCACCACCAGCACGGCCAGGCCTCCTTATGGAAAACGAGGACTGCTTGTGCCTTTGTTTCCTTTCTTGATTGTTAATCCTACATAATAAAAGTCTAATATACAAATTGACAGAACGCCAGAAGGACTGGTTGCTATGATGCGCACTAACCACCAGGGGGCAGACGCTCAGCGCAGGAGCTGCCTCCTGGTGGTCAGTGCGCTCCTACAGGGGGAGTGCCACTCAGCTACATCCCATCAGTCAGACATTCCTCGAGGCCTCCCGGACTGCTAACAGGCGCAGGCCAGGCCCAGGGATGCTCCCACCCCCGAGGGATCTTCTATCACCAGTGCCTGCTCACTCTGCTCTGCAGTCCTAGTTCTGGGAGTCTGCTCTCAGATTTGCTCAATCGTGCGTGAACCTGTTAAATAGGGTTATTGTACGTTTTGACTTGTAGAAAATGATTACATATTCTGAATCTGAGTTCTTTGTTGCCTATGTGCAGGGTCTGCAGGTAAATGTTTAATAACTGGCTGCCTGTGAAACAAAAACAACACAAAAGCCCGATTGTGGTGTTTGCCCATTTCCATGGTGTAACTATTCTCACAATAGCTCCCAATGTGATGTTCCTGACCACTGAGCTGGGAAGAGAGGTGCCTGGTCAGCTCTCAGGAGCTGGGGGAGGCGGCCTCAGCGCACCCCGGGGGCCTGTGCATTGCGAATCTCTCCTCCAGCCTGGGGCTGTGTTTTTCGTCCTCCGGGTCATACTCTGTTACCAAGTCAGTGTCACTCAAGGGGGATTTACATGTTGTAACATGTGCCTGTCTACACTCTAGGCCTGTGTGCTATGATCAGACTTGAACATGGTTTTCATTCTGATGGGTGTTGGGGTCCTCAGCCCCCTCCCCCTACCCTGTTTCGATGACTCTCTAGAGCTCTTAGGACTCGGTACACAGAGCTAAGTCAGCGCAGGAAAAGGCTCCTAGGGAGGTGGTGGGGACATCAGGTGCAGCTTCCAAGTCCTGTCCCGGTGGGTCATGCAGGAGGCACTGAACTGCTCACAGGGAGTGTGACAGCACCTGTGCGATGTCTACCGGGGACCTTGTCAGAGATCAGGGCCCAGGGTTTTATCGGGGGCGGGTCACATGGCACCTGTGCCCGCCACTTCCCCAAATCCCAGGCTCCAAGAGGGAGAGCAGGTGTCAGCACAGGCGGTTCAGGCCCATGGAGGCACCCTAGTCACATGTGCTGGGGACCTGCTGTGCGAACCCCTTCCTGAACCAGCCCTTCTGAGTGGGACGCTGAAGACAGCCTGAGTCACCCCTGAGGAGTTGCCCCTCCCCAGGGCAGGCACCGCTGTCAGATGATTCAGCTTTTGTGTCCAGAAAGTATGTCCACCTCCTGGACATAGATGTGGTCAGAGTGAGGGGGGGCTCCCAGGTCACCACTGAGGGGCAGGAACATGGTGGCCCAGGGAACGACCTGGGACCAACCCTACCTGGGGGATGTCAGGTAGGGGTCTTTGTTGTAAACAACAGAAATGAATCCTGTAAATGCATCAGGCAAGGACTTTATTGGAGGGGACAGACCGTACACAGAATGGGGGTGGAGTGGGGGGAGTGAAGAAGCCAGCATAGGAGGCAGTGGGGTGCTAAGCCACACGGGTGAGGTGGCGAGGAGAAACCAGCTTCTCTCCCTTCACTCCTCTCAAGGCTCCAAGATCTGGAGCGTCCAGCTGGCGTCGCTGGGGTCACTGCCAGCCGGGCTGGGTGGCAGGGCACGTTGCTTTGGGGGAAGTCAGTGGAGAAATGGGTGACCTGTTTCCAGAGGGAGAAAGGCACAGCGGTGGCCAGGAGACCACAGATGGGACTTGGCAGCGTCCTGGCTCTTAGTAAAGAATCCTGGGGTGCAGATGGCAGTGAGCTCTGGAGTGTTTGGGTGCCCTTAAGAAGATCACTCAGCAGCAGGACTTCTGGGCCGAGGCGGGGACGCAGCAGGCCGGGCGGGAGCACAGGGGGCGGCAGAGCAGGGACATGCAGGAGGATGGGCGGCAGCAGCTGGGCTGGCAGGAGGAGGTGGGGCCACAGCAGGAGGAGGCGGGCACGCAGCAGGCAGGCCTGCACACGGGGCAGCAGATGAGGGACACGCAGGAGGAGGGTCTGCAGCAGGATGAGGTGCAGGGGGTGGGCTGGCAGCACGAGGAGGCCCTAGAGCAGACAGGCACACAGCACAGGGGCTTGCAGCAGACGGGTGTGCAGCAGAGGGGTGTGCAGCAGACGGGTGTGCAACAGGCCTGCTGGCAGGGGGAGGAGGTGCAGCAGGAAGGCTGGCAGCTAGACTGCTGGCAGCATGAGGGTGTGCAGGAGCTGGTGCAGGCTGATTGGCAGGGGCTGGTATCACAGGTCACCTGGCAGCAGGGGCTAGACACGCAGCTCACTGGGGGTGCAGATGAGGGTCAGGCAGGGGGCTGGGGCACAGCAGCTGGGGGCACAGCAGGTGGGCTGGCAGCAGCTGGGTACACAGCAGGTGGGTTGGCAGCAGCTGGGGGCGCAGCAGGAGGGCTCACAGCAGCTCTCTGGACAGTCGTCCACCTGCCAGGAGGAGTCGGTGCAAGAGTCACTGGAGCCGGGCAGGCAGGCGGGGTTGCCATAGCTCAGGTTGCTGGAGCAGACGGACAGGGCAGATGTGGCCATCGTGGGGCAGTGGGGCTGAGGTGAACTAGGTGGAGGGTGTGAGTGTGAGAGTGTGTGTGAGTGTGTAAGGTTCCTGGGCTGTTGGCTTTTATACCCTCTCTGGCTGTGTTTCCCCGCAGGATGCTCGCACGGCTTCTTCCTTGTTTGTGTTTGGGACACAGGGAACTCTCATTAGTGGGGGTTTGTGTTTTCGTTCTGCAGGTTGTTGCTCAGCGATATCGCTCCTAGGGTAGTGATGGCGAACCTTTTGAGCTCGGCGTGTCAGCATTTTGAAAAACCCTAACTTAACTCTGGTGCTGTGTCACATATAGAAATTTTTTGATATTTGCAACAATAGTAAAACAAAGATATATATTTTTGATATTTATTTTATATATTTAAATGACATTTAACAAAGAAAAATCAACCAAAAAAATGAGTTCTCGTGTCACCTCTGACACACGTGTCATAGGTTAGCCATCACTGTCCAAGGGTGTTGTGTGCTCTGCTGATGCATCCCAAGCTGCCTTTAGTTCATAACATTGAGGTAGAAGGGGGGTGTGTCTGCAAATAGCCTGCCCCGGGGTCTGAGTTGGCCTCACGAGAGAACCATCCCTCCTAGTCCAGCTGCCCTTTCTGGACACCTGGGATGTCCTGCGAACACTTGGGGATTCTGAGCGTTTGGGTGCCACGGCTTCCCTAGTGCCTGGCTGGAGAGGCCTGGGCCAGAGAGGGCAGAAGGTGCAGCATTTCTAACTGTGGTTCCCCAGCACGCCCTCCAGTTCAGGGACTCCCCTGGGGCAGGTGGCAAGCAGGTAAAGTTGGAAGGTCTGCCAGTGGCACCTCCATGTCCCAGGGTGGGCAGTGCACACCCCTGTCACCTGCCTGTGCGCTCAGTGAGGGACAGACCCCGCGCCTGTCCACAGCCTCCCCACGCCATCGGCATGTACCCGACCCTGAGAGCTGTGTGTGTGAGCCAGAGGTCCCTGTCCGCCTCCCTGCACAAAGCACCGCCAGCACGGCCAGGCCTCCTTATGGAAAACGAGGACTGCTTGTGCCTCCTGTTTACTTTCTTGATTGTTAATCCTACATAATAAAAGGCTAATATACAAATTGACAGAACGCCAGAATGACTGGTTGCTATGATGCGCACTGACCACCAGGGGGCAGACGCTCAGCGCAGGAGCTGCTCCCTGGTGGTCAGTGCGCTCCCACTGGTAGAGTGCCACAGCCACATCCCATCAGTCAGACATTCCTCGAGGCCTCCGGACTGCTAACAGGCGCAGGCCAGGCCCAGGGACTGCTCCCACCCCCGAGGGATCTTCTATCACCAGTGCCTGCTCACTCTGCTCTGCAGTCCTAGTCCTGGGAGTCTGCTCTCAGATTTGCTCAATCGTGCGTGAACCTGTTAAATAGGGTTATTGTACGTTTTGACTTGTAGAAAATGATTACATATTCTGAATCTGAGTTCTTTGTTGCCTATGTGCAGGGTCTGCGGGTAAATGTTTAATAACTGGCTGCCTGTGAATCAAAAACAACAAAAAAGCCCCGATTGAGGTGTTTGCCCATTTCCATGGTGTAACTATTCTCACAATTGCTCCCAATGTGATGTTACTGAACACTGAGCTGGGAAGAGAGGTGCCTGGTCAGCTCTCAGGAGCTGGGGGAGGCGGCCTCAGCGCACCCCCGGGGGTCTGTGCCTTGCGAATCTCTCCTCCCGCCTGGGGCTGTGTTTTTCGTCCTCCGGGTCATACTCTGTTACCAAGTCAGTGTCACTCAAGGGGGATTTCCATGTTGGAACATGTGCCTGTCTACACTCTAGGCCTGTGTGTTATGATCAGAATTGAACATTGTTTTCATTCTGATGGGTGTTGGGGTCCTCAGCCCCCTCCCCCTACCCTGTTTCGATGACTCTCTAGAGCTCTTAGGACTCGGTACACAGAGCTAAGTCAGCGCAGGAAAAGGCTCCTGGGGAGGTGGTGGGGACATCAGGTGCAGCTTCCAGGGCCTGTCCCGGTGGATCATGCAGGAGGCACTGAACTGCTCACAGGGAGTGTGACAGCACCTGTGCGATGTCTACCGGGGACCTTGTCAGAGATCAGGGCCCAGGGTTTTATCGGGGGCGGGTCACATGGCACCTGTGCCCGGCACTTCCCCAAATCCCAGGCTCCAAGAGGGAGAGCAGGTGTCAGCACAGGCGGTTCAGGCCCATGGAGGCACCCTAGTCACATGTGCTGGGGACCTGCTGTGCGAACCCCTTCCTGAACCAGCCCTTCTGAGTGGGATGCTGAAGACAGCCTGAGTCACCCCTGAGGAGTAGCCCCTCCCCAGGGCAGGCACCGCTGTCAGATTATTCAGCTTTTGTGTCCAGAAAGTATGTCCACCTCCTGGACATAGATGTGGTCAGAGTGAGGGGGTGCTCCCAGGTCACCACTGAGGGGCAGGAACATGGTGGCCCAGGGAACGACCTGGGACCAACCCTACCTGGGGGATGTCAGGTAGGGGTCTTAGTTGTAAACAACAGAAATGAATCCTGTAAATGCATCAGGCAAGGACTTTATTGGAGGGGACAGACCGTACACAGAATGGGGGTGGGGTGGGGGGAGTGAAGAAGCCAGCATAGGAGGCAGTGGGGTGCTAAGCCACACGGGTGAGGTGGCGAGGAGAAACCAGCTTCTCTCCCTTCACTCCTCTCAAGGCCCCAAGGCCTGGAGCGTCCAGCTGGCGTCGCTGGGGTCACTGCCAGCCGGGCTGGGTGGCAGGGCACGTTGCTTTGGGGGAAGTCAGTGGAGAAATGGGTGACCTGTTTCCAGAGGGAGAAAGGCACAGCGGTGGCCGGGCGACCACAGATGGGACTTGGCAGCGTCCTGGCTCTTAGTAAAGAATCCTGGGGTGCAGATGGCAGTGAGCTCTGGAGTGTTTGGGTGCCCTTAAGAAGATCACTCAGCAGCAGGACTTCTGGGCCGAGGCAGGGACGCAGCAGGCCGGGCGGGAGCACAGGGGTCTGCAGAGCAGGGACATGCAGGAGGATGGGCGGCAGCAGCTGGGCTGGCAGGAGGAGGTGGGGCCACAGCAGGAGGACGTGGGGCCACAGCAGGAGGAGGTGGACACGCAGCAGGCAGGCCTGCACACGGGGCGGCAGATGAGGGACACACAGGAGGAGGGTCTGCAGCAGGATGAGGTGCAGGGGGTGGGCTGGCAGCACGAGGAGGCCCCAGAGCAGACAGGCACACAGCACATGGGTGTGCAGCAGACGGGTGTGCAGCAGAGGGGTGTGCAGCAGGCCTGCTGGCAGGAGGAGGAAGTGCAACAGGAGGGCTGGCAGCTAGACTGCTGGCAGCATGAGGGTGTGCAGGAGCTGGTGCAGGCTGATTGGCAGGGGCTGGGATCACAGGTCACCTGGCAGCAGGGGCTGGACGTGCAGCTCACTGGGGTGCAGATGAGGGTCAGGCAGGAAGCTGGGGTACAGCAGCTGGGGGCACAGCAGGTGGACTGGCAGCAGCTGGGGACACAGCAGGAGGACTGGCAGCAGCTGGGGACACAGCAGGAGGACTGGCAGCAGCTGGGGACACAGCAGGAGGACTGGCAGCAGCTGGGGACACAGCAGGAGGACTGGCCGCAGCTGGGGACACAGCAGGTGGGCTGGCAGCAGCTGGGGACACAGCAGGTGGGCTGGCAGCAGCTGGGGACACAGCAGGTGGGCTGGCAGCAGCTGGGGACACAGCAGGTCGGCTGGCAGCAGCTGGGGGCGCAGCAGGAGGGCTCACAGCAGCTCTCTGGACAGTCGTCCACCTGCCAGGAGGAGTCGGTGCAAGAGTCACTGGAGCCGGGCAGGCAGGCGGGGTTGCCATAGCTCAGGTTGCTGGAGCAGACGGACAGGGCAGATGCGGCCATGGTGGGGCAGTGGGGCTGGAGGAGGGTGTGAGTGTGTGAGTGTGTGTGAGTGTGAGTGTGTAAGGTTCCTGGGCTCTTGGTTTTTATACCCTCTCTGGCTGTGTTTCCCCGCAGGATGCTCGCACGACTTCTTCCTTGTTTGTGTTTGGGACACAGGGAACTCTCATTCGTGCGGGTTTGTGTTTTCGTTCTGTGAGCTGTTGCTCAGCGATAAAGCTCCGAGGGTGTTGTGTGCTCTGCTGATGCATCCCAAGCTGCCTTTAGTTCATAACATTGAGGTAGAAGAGGTGTGTCTGCAAATAGCATGCCCCGGGGTCTGAGTTGGCCTCACGAGAGAACCATCCCTCCTAGTCCAGCTGCCCTTTCTGGACACCTGGGATGTCCCGCGAACACTTGGGGATTCTGAGGGTTTGGGTGCCACGGCTTCCCTAGTGCCTGGCTGGAGCGGCCTGGGCCAGAGAGGGCAGAAGGTGCAGCATTTCTAACTGTGGTTCCCCTGCACGCCCTCCAGTTCAGGGACTCCCCTGGGGCAGGTGGCAAGCAGGTAAAGTTGGAAGGGCTGCCAGTGGCACCTCCATGTCCCTGGGTGGGCAGTGCACACTCCTGTGCACAGTGAGGGACACACCCCGCGCCTGTCCACAGCCTCCCCACGCCATCTGTATGTACCTGACCCTGAGAGCTGTGTGTGTGAGCCCGAGGTCCCTGTCCGCCTCCCTGCAGAAAGCACCGCCAGCACGGCCAGGCCTCCGTATGGAAAACGAGGCCTGCTTGTGTCTTCTGTTTACTTTCTTGGTTGTTAATAGAAAAATAAAATGCACAGCAGTGTCAACAGTCAGGGTGAGAAGGGTAAACGGAGTTACAGTGTCTGAGGTCTCAGCATTGCTTTGAAAGTGGAAAGAGCACCCATGTGTACTTGAATAGCCAAGACTGCACACTAGGTCACCCCTGGAAGGTCCGTGAGTACAGTGGGTAACTAATCGTGAGTAGAAAAGGGAAATGGTCCTGGTGGGTGGCTCAGTTGTTTGAAGCGTGGGCCTGTGTACAGAAGGTTGCGGGTTAGATTCCTGGTCACGGCACTTAACTGTATTGCTGAGTTGATCCCCAGTCAGGGCATCTGCAGGAGGCAATGGATCGGTATTTCTCTCTTACATCGATGTTTCTCCTCTCTCCTTTCCTCTCTCTCTAAAATCAATAAAAGCTTACCCTTGGTGATGATTAAAAAAGGGAGATGAATTATAAAAATACTCAATTAACCCAAAATAGTCAGAAAATAATTTAAAAGAACATTTTGGGGCAAATAGAAAACATATAATCAGGGAGTAGATATAATAGGTATGTGTGTTGTTTACAACAGATTGAAAGTAAAAACAAGGATAAGAAGACATCATGCAAACACCAACTTTGGAAAGCTGGTGTGCCTTATTAATATCAGGAGAAGTAGATTTTAAGGCAAGAAGCATTATTTGAGATAAAGACATTTTATAGAGCTGAAAGGGTCAACCCACCAGGAAGCTATTAACAATTCCAAATGTGTATGTACCTAGTAACATAGCCTAAAACATAGAAATAAAAAATTGACAGAACTAAATGTAGAAATAGATAATGATGAAGTCACAGTTGGGGACATTGATACACCTATCTCAATAACTGAAGGAAAAGGAGACAAAAATAATCTGAGTGGAAATGGCTCTTTCAAGTTTGGAGTAAAACAGTGGTATCCGTGCATTTTGTGGCCCCTCCCCCCAGAGTGTGGTCAGGACCTGTGACATGCTTCAGACACAGAGGTGACGGGATGTGTGTGGTCACATTGTGTAAGATGGTAATGCTGGTCTTGGGGGGAGAATCTGTCCTGTGCTGGCTGTGGAAGTCCCATGTGAACTGTCCGTGGACAGGGCCTTGTGCCAAGAAATGAGAACAATCCCAGTTACAGCCACCAGGAAACTGAGGCCCTCAGCCTGACCACCTGCAAGGAACTGAATGCTGATGAGAACGCGAGCCGGGAAGCAACTCCTTCCCCAGTCGAGCCTCCAGATGAGACCCCATGATGCGAACCCACAGGAAACCCAGTGCAGCATGACCCCAGAGAGTTTGAGATGACACGTGCATTGTTTTAGGCCAGTAAGCTTGTGGTAATTCGTTACCAGCAAAAGGAAAGAAGCACCCAGACCAATGAGGAATTCTAGGCAGCTATCAACAAGGAAGAGGAGCCTTCCTGTATTCACAGGGAAGGAGCTCCACATTATTAAATTAAAAAAACAACACACATAGTGGGTAAACTATGAAACAATTCGTATTTTAAAAAGTTATACACAGACTTTATCTATACCCAGATAGATAGATGATAGAGATGTGGGGTCAATCCTCGTTATTCAGGGATTCCTTATTTGTGAATTCACCTAATCACTACGATTGATTTGTAACCCCCAAATCAACACGTGCGGTGCCTGTGTGGTCGTCTGTGGGCTTGTGCAGGGTGGCCAAAAATGTGAGTTCCCAGCTGAGGCTGCACAGGCGCACGGCCTCTTGTGTCAGCTCTCGGTCTGTAAACGTGCCCTTCCAGGGTCTCTTTGGGGCCGTGACTTTCCACATTTGGGGGCTTTATGCTTGTGACTTGGCTGGTTGACATGGCCCGCAGCCTGGAGCCGAAGTGCTGTCTGGTGTCCTAAGTGCAAGAAGGCCGCACCGTGCTTCACGGAGGAAATACATGTTCGCACGAGAGTGAGAATGCAGATGGCGTTAGTCCAATTTTGCATGAGATGTACGTTAAATATACATTAATTAAATAAGAAGTCTTTAACCAGAAACATACATCCAACAAGGCTACATATTGATGGGCTGATGAAAATACTGTGCCGAGAGGCGCACGGGGCCCCAACCCTGCATTTCCCCCAGCGCCACGGTTCAGCATTTGCTAATTCAGTGTTTGCGGCAACTTCATAGAACGTAACTACTACGAATAATGAGCATGGACTGTGTGTAAGAGTGTGTGTGTGTGTGTGTGTGTGTGTGTGCAGCACACACAGACACACAGATGGAGAGGCAGGGACAGAGAAGACAGAGGAGTGGAAGTCGCTGCTTCCAGAGCGGGGATGTGGGTGCTGACGGAGTGAGGGAGACCCGCTCTTGGCCACATTGTGTTCTGTGGCCTGTGCTTCTTAGCGACCCTGTGGGCTGTCTGGAGTAGGCAGGCGGGATATCCGACCGGCGGAGGGCTGGGTAAAGGCTGTGGGGGGCTGTCTTGGAGGAGAAGCTGGGCTTCCCCACAGAGAAGGCCACCCAAGAGGGAGACCAGGGCTGTGACCCTTCCCTGGTTCAGCCCAGGTGCTCCCTGTGGGACACGCATAGGAACTGGGCACCCAGGAAGCTGTCATTTTCCTGTGGGGAAGGGAGCCACAAAATTTTCCCTAGAATACAGTCCTCAGGGACAGGTAGAACGTGGACACGCGGGCAGCTGGCCTCGGAGAGAGGCGCTTTAGTGATAAGAAATCCCCCTGAGCTCCGGCCAAGAGGCCCAGGTCCTGCCGCACCCATGTGGCCCTGGAAGTCACCCAACGCCCTGGCCTCTCGGTTCCTCCCACACAAGTTGCCAACAGTCCTGCGTCCCCACAGGATGGGGTGTTTGAACCACAGGGAAACTCTTCCTAGTGTGGCTGCCTACAGAGTGAGCCAGGCACTGAGGCTGCCCTGGCAGCTGACCAGACGATGCCCCAGCACATCCAAGATGGCCTGAGGCAAGACCCCACCCTCCCCTGTCTGAGGACCCAGACTGGGACCTGCCACCCACTCCTAATCCCCTGGGGACACAATGGGGCAGGCTCTTGAGCTAAATCTAGGAGATTTACAAGCTGGACAACATCCCAGACAAACAAACATCCTGTGCCTCTGGGAAGCGGAAATGGGACACAGCCAGGAGGGTATAAAAGCCAACAGCCCTGAGCACCACACACATTCACACTCACACTCACACTCACACCTCCTCCCAGTTCACTCCAGCCCCACCGCCCACCATGGCCGCATCCACCCTCTCCGTCTGCTCCGACTCCTCCTGGCAGGTGGATGACTGTCCAGAGAGCTGCTGTGAGCCCTCCTGCTGTGTCCCCAGCTGCTGCCAGCCCACCTGCTGTGTCCCCAGCTGCTGCCAGCCCTCTTGTTGCACCTCCTGCCCCTGCCAGCAGGCCTGCTGTGTCTCTGTCTGCTGCAAGCCCGTGTGCTGCAAACCCGTCTGCTGCACACCTGTCTGCTGCACACCTGTCTGCTGCACACCTGTCTGCTGCAAGCCCATGTGCTGCACACCTGTCTGCTGCAAGCCCGTCTGCTGCACATCTGTCTGCTGCAAGCCCGTCTGCTGCACATCTGTCTGCTGCAAGCCCCTGTGCTGTGTGCCTGTCTGCTCTGGGCCCTCCTCGTGCTGCCAGCCCACCCCCTGCACCTCATCCTGCTGCAGACCCTCCTCCTGCGTGTCCCTCATCTGCCGCCCCGTGTGCAGGCCTGCCTGCTGCGTGTCCACCTCCTCCTGCTGTGGCCCCACCTCCTCCTGCCAGCCCAGCTGCTGCCGCCCATCCTCCTGCATGTCCCTGCTCTGCCGCCCTGTGTGCTCCCGCCCGGCCTGCTGTGTCCCCACCTCAGCCCAGACTTCCTGCTGCTGAGCAGGCATGTCCTCAGGGCCAGCAGGGCTCAGGTCTTACCCTGTGATGGTGGTTCTCCCAGCCACCCCTCAGTCTGGTCCTGACCTGTGTTAGATGGCTGTCCCTACTCAGGATGGGGTCCCCCAGGCTTCACTGTTCTGAGCTGACCTCTGCTCCCAGGAGCCCTGAACCTCACTGCTTCCTGGGCTCTTGCCTCCCAGGAGGCGTCTCCACCTGCCCCTGGGTTACCTGTTCTTTCGTTAAGTTTCTCTGTCAATTCACTTGATCTCTCCTCTCAGCCTGTCAGCATCTCCTTGGTCAACCCAATAAACTCACTTCATCATCTGAGCGCTTCCTTCATCTGATTTCATGGGGTGTGGGGGGGGGGGCGGTGGTGGGGGGAGAAGACAGGGTTTTCACCAGACATTGGTCTCCTCCAGCCTCAAGTATTTCTAGCAATGAGTGAGAGATCCCAAAGGGCAGTGTCCCAACTGCTCTGGACAAGGTGACCGGGTGGGACTCCTGCCCTGACCGACGAATGTCCGTGTCTGGGGGCCCCTGCCCCAGGCTCACCCGAGCTGGTCACCTGCAGACACATCTAGGGGTTCTCAAGTGCCCTGGACCATTTCCACCCACTGTCCACCTGGGCAAACCCACCCTCAGAGTTGCTCATCGGGGAGCTGGCCTGGGGCTCCGTGCGGCACACCTCTGGGCTGGGCCTCCTGGTCATCTACCTGCAGGTCTGCACTGTTAGCACAGACTGATGGAGTGAGGGAGCTCACAGGAGTCAACACCTGGATGTGGAAACAAAATATGAAGGAGCGGGTGGCAGGACCTCCAGCGTCATGTCTGTGTGTGCCTGAGGGCCTCCTCTGGCAGCTCCCGCCTTCGTCTGGGAGTGTGAGGGACACCGAGCCACGATGCGGGCTCCCCTGGGACCTGAGTGCTCCTGTCAGGCTTCCACGTACCGAAGGGCCATGGGCAACAGCCTACCTGACGTCAGGATGACATTGACACCACGCAAGGGCACATGTTGACAATGTGCAAATACCCCAGCAAGATCACCCCCTAGGGGCCGTGGCCAGAACTGCTGCAGGAAATAGACCACTGTCCCCAACCCGGAAAGGATCCGCCAGTGTTCAGCCCCCCTTGGGTCTACCAGGGGGACAAAGCGCCGCCTCCCTGCTTGTGAGCCCCTCACTCTTCCTGCAGCCAGTGACATGGCCAGAACCCCCCGAGGGAGCCCCTGATGTCCCTGAGGTCTCTGCCTCCTCCCCTGAAACGCCGGCCACCTCCCACCCCACACCATGCCCTGCCTGCTGCACACTGTACGTCCTAACTTCCCTCTTCTCCTGCTGACCAGTTTTTCACCCACTTCTGCTTAAAACCGGCTTTGTTGAGATACAACTTACATGTAATCAAATGCACACAATTTAATTGTACACTTTGATGAGTTTTTTAAAAGGTCGCTATCCTGTTGCCTCCACCTATGTCAAGATATAGAGCCCTGGCCAGTTTGGCTCAGTGGAAAGAGCATTGGCCTGGGGACTGGAGGGTCCTGAGTTCGAGTCTGGTCAAGGGCATGTACCTCAGTTGCAGGCTCTATGCCCACATGTGTGAAGGCAGCCAACTGTGTCTCTCACATTGATGTTTCTCTCTCTATGTCTCTCTCTCTCCTTTCCACTCTCTCTAAAAATCAATGGGGAAATATCCTCAGGTGAGGATGAACAAAAACAAAAAAGAGAGAGATGTAGAACATTTGCTTCAGGCCAAAGGTTCCTGGCATTCCTTCCCAATCCACCACTCTCCACCCGGAGCCCAGCCACCCCTAAGCCACCGTCTCACTAAAGACAGGCCACAGGGAAGGAATCGTGCAGGGTGTGCCCTCGCTGTCTGGCTCTGCTTACTTGTCTCTGTTGTCGTGTATAACCGCAGTTGATTCCTTTTTAACGGCTGAGTCGAGCTTTATTGAATGGATGTACCACAGTTTACCCGTTCACCTGTTGAAGAATATTTGGGTTGTCTCCAGGTTATGGGGATTCTGAACGAAGCCGCTGTGAGCACCTGCACTCAGCGTGTTTTCATTTCTCTTGGGTAGAAGCCTCGGGCGGCATTGCTGGGCACGTGGTGGGTGCAGGGTGGGTCGTGGTATTTTTATTCCCCTGATGACTAACGATGGCGATTATCTCGTGTGCTTGTTTGCCCTTTGTCCTAGTATGTCTTCCTCAGTGCAGTGCCTGCTCCAAGCCTCTGCCCATTTGTACAAAATCAGATTGTTTGTCCTCATTACTAATTTGTGAGTGTTATTCATATAGTCTGGACACCAGGCATGTGTCATATCCGTAAATTGAAAGTCTCTCTATCTGTGACTAGCCTTTTCATCTTCTTAACAGTGCTTTGTGAAGAGCTGACATCTTTAATTTTGATTAAATTCAATTGGTCATGTTTTCTTCAATGGTTCTTGCTAACAAATCTTTGCCTAAACCTAAGGTCACACAGATTTTGTCCTATGCTTACTTCTAAATATTTTACAGTTTTAACTTTCATGCTTAGTTCTATGATCCATTTCAAGTTAAAATTTTTCAAGTTAATTTTTTAATATACTGTGAGTTGTTCCAGTATCATTTGTTAAGATTATTCTTACTCCACTGAATTACCCTTGCCAAAAAATCTATTAACCATGTATATGGAAGATATATTTCTGCACTTTCTCATCTACTTTATTCTTCTATGTTTATTATTACACCAATAATAAATATGTTTATTATTATGATAATAACACACTGTCTTAATCAATGTCGCTTTAAATTAAGTGCTGAAATCAAGCAATGTAAGTCCTCCAATTCTGTTTTTCTTTTTCCAAATTGGTTGGCTAATCTAGATCTAGAGAGGGAGAGAGAGATAGAAACATCAATGATGAGAGAGAACCACCGATTGGCTGCCTCCTGCAAGCCTCCCACTGGAGATCAAGCCTGTACCCCAGCATGTGCCCTTGACTGGAATCGAACCCAGGACCCTTCAGTCTGCAGACCAATGCTCTATCCACTGAGACAAACAGGCTAGAGCTCCTATTTCATTTTTAATGTTTTAATTAATAGTAAGATTTTTTTCATTTTTGACTATTTATTGTTGTTTGGTAAAAATACAATTGGCTTTTGTGTATTGATTGAACTTGTATCCTGTAACCTTGCAAAATTCACTTGAATTTAGTAGCTTTTTTTGTATGTGTGTATATTTCTTCCTTAGGATTTTCAGTAGTCAAGGCATTTGGGCTCGATGTCTTCTTTGTGGGAAAGGTTTTAACCATGAATTCAATTTCTTCAATTGGCAGAGGGCTATCCAGGTTTTCTATTTCATCTTGTATTAGATTTTATCACTTATATCGTTCCAGTTATTTGCCTCTTTCATCTAAGTTGTTGAATGTATCAGCATAACATTGTTTGCTTTCATCCTTTTATTCCTTTAGTCAATAGAATCTGTGCTTGTAAGCCTTCTTTCATTCATGATATTAGTAATTTATTTCTTTTCTCTTTTTACTTGACTGATAAAGCAAAAATGTATCAATTTTATTGATCTTTTCAAAAAAACAAATTTGGCTTATAGATTTTCTCTCTTGTCTGTTCATTTTTCTATTTGGTAGACTTCTACACTTCTTGATTATTTTCTTCCCTCTACTTATTTTTGGGTTCAATTTATACCTCTTTTTATAGCTTCTTATAGTAGAAACTTAAATAATTTATCTCAATCCTCCCTTCTTTTTAAATATACATTATTAAAACTATACATTTCCCTATACACTGTGTTAGCTGCATCCCACAAAGTTTATTTTCATTTTATTCAAAATATTTCCTGCCCTAACCGGTTTAGCTCAGTGGATAGAGCATTGGCCTGCGGACTCAAGGGTCCCAGGTTCGATTCTGGTCAAGGGCATGTACCTTGGTTGTGGGCACATCCCCAGTGGGGAGTGTGCAGGAGGCAGCTGATCGATGTTTCTCTCTCATCAATATTTCTAACTCTCTATCCCTCTCCCTTCCTCTCTGTAAAAAATCAATAAAATATATTTAAAAAATATTTCCTAATTTTCTTGTGATTTCTTCTTTAACTCAAGGATTATTTTAATGTTTGTTGTTTAATTTTCTAATATTAGACAATTTTCCAGATAACTTTCTATTAATGATTTCTGATTCTGTTGTGGTCAAACAACATTCTCTGTATGATTTCATACCTATTAAATATATTGAGACTTGTTTAATGGCCTAGCATATGATATGTTTTGGTGAGTGTTTTTATATGGTATTTTGTATAAATATCAATTAGGTCAGGTTAATTACAGTGTTTTTTAAATTTTCTGTATATTTATCAATTTCATCAAATTAAAAAAATATTTGGCTATTATCTCTTAAAATATCTTTTGCCCTCTCCCCCACCTTTTTTTAAAGATACTCCAGATGTGTTTATATTAGACCACTTAATATTGTTTCCCAGTTCACTGAGGCTCTGTAAAGTTTTTATTTTTTTTCTCACTGTCCTCTGATTTGGATAATTTCTATGGCTATGTCTTCAGGGTTACTACTCTTTTCTTTTGCAGTATCTAAATTACTTTAAGGCTCGTCCTTCTAATTTTTTATTGTTAATGTTATATTTTTCAACGTTTGGAATTCTGTTTAATTTTCTTTTGTATCTTCCATTTCTCTCCCCATTATGTTCATGTTTTTCTTTAAATCCTGAACATATGTATAGTGGCTGTTTTAACTACCTTGTCTGCTAATTTCATCAACTCTGTCTGTGGGTTTGTTTCTATAAACTGTTTTGTCTCTTGGTTGTGAGTGACATTTTCCTCTTCTTCATGTGTCTACTGATATTTTATTGAATGCTGAAATTCAATAAAATAAAACCATAATACTGCTGAGTGCTGCCTCATTCTCCATGAACTCTGATTCCTACTCTGTAAAACCTCCACACTATTTGTCACCCTCCATGTGCTGCAGTCTGAAAACTCTCAACAGCGAGCCAGAGCAATTAAACAAGCCTCAATATATTTATTTATCGATTTATTTATTTATTTATTTATTTATTTTTCTTTATTGATTAAGGTATTACATATGTGTCCTTATCCCTCATTGGCCCCCCCCCATACACTCCCCAGCTCATGACCTCACCCCCTGTTGTCTGTGTCCATTGGTTAGGCTTCTATGCATGCATACAAGTCCTTTGGTTAATCTCTCCCCCTTACCCTCACCCTCCCCTACCTTTCCTCTGAGGTTTGAGCATCTGATCGATGCTTCTCTGTCTCTGGATCTGTTTTTGTTCATCAGTTTATGTTGTTCATTATATTACACAAATGAGTGAGATCATGTGATATTTATCTTTCTCTGACTGACTTATTTCACTTAGCATAATGCTCTCCAGGTCCATCCATGCTGTTGCAAATGGTAGGAGTTCCTTCCTTTTTACAGTAGCATAGTTTTCCATTGTGTAGATGTACCAATGTTTTTTAATCCACTCATCTGCTGATGGGGACTTAGGCTGTTTCCAAATCTTAGCTATTGTAAATTGTAAACATAGGGGTGCATATATCCTTTCTGATTGGTGTTTCTAGTCTCTTGGGATATATTCCTAGATGTGGGATCACTGGGTCAAATGGGAGTTCCATTTTTAGTTTTTTGAGGAAACTCCATACTGTTCTCTACAGTGGCTGTACCAGTCTGCATTCCCACCAGTAGTGCATGAGGGTTGCCTCAATATATTTAACTAGAGGCCCAGTGCACACAAAATCGTGTGCAGTTAGGGTCCCTAGGCCATCTTCTGCTCGCTCACTAGTCCTGCCCTGCTGCTCTGTTCGCAGCGGTTTCCTGTTCACCATGCTGCGATCGGAGACTGTGGGAGGGTGGGAAGGGACCGAGAGGTGCTCAATGCTCCTCATGGTGACTGGTCTTTTGGTCATCCTGGTCGTCACAGACACTGGCTTTTTATATATAGATATATAGATAGGACTGAAATCATACAGAGAATGTTGTTTGACTAAAATAGAATCAGAAGTCATTAACAGAGGGATATCTAGAAAATTGTCTAATTAGGAAATTAAACAACAGGGCTTCTTCCTTTGTCTCCCTTCTCTCGGGACCTGAGTCCTGTACTGTCAGCTGCCCGATGTCTGAAACCTGGCTTCTTATATCTTCCATCTCATTTTCTAATTACTTAGGGTGGGAGGACTCTGTTTCTCTTCTAATCCAATCCCTGCTTCCCTCTTTGACTCCTCACATTCTTTCCTGGCTCTGGAGCTGAATCTGTCTGCTTCCTCTCTGGGAAATACTCCAGCTAAATTCAAGCTCAACCTGAGACATACCTACTTCCCCAAGGACTGGGCCATGCAGCCAACATTCTCCGAGGAGGAATGGATCCTGGAGATCCTAACAGTGGGTCCTGGAGAGACATCAGAAACCACAGCCTAACTTTTAGGGGCTCTGGGCTCCATGAGAGATGTCACCAACCCCCATTCCACCCAAGGCTCCGCGGCTTCCACAGACCCCGTGGTAAATACATCTCTAGAGACGTCACAAAGTAAGATCAAGAAAAAGAACTACTGGTATTCAGTGAATAATAGGACAGCAGGGTGAAGGATGAACAAAGATGGCCCCAAATGGCCAAAGGGCTGTGACGCCTGCCCCACCCTCTACCGCCCAGCTGGGAAACCTGGGAGCCACAGGAAACCACAGGGTCCTGCTGGCTGGCAGAGTGCCGTGTGCAAAGGGGAAAGTAGAGGTGCAGTTAAGCTGAGAAATGACAATGAGGACACATGGACAACAGGGCAGTGCTCAATTCAGGGGGTGTTTATTGGTCAGTTTACTAAAGTACATCAGGGTTGGAGACTGATGGAGGCTGAGCTGGTCCTCAGGAGGGTGGGAGACGTGGAGGGGGCACTGCCATGAGGACTTCCTATCGCCCCTCACGAGCGATTGCATTGAGTCTGGTCCTTTAGTTCTTCCACGTGTCCAGCTCAGCAGCAGGCTGGACCAGCAGTCACCAGGTCTAAGTGCTGGAGCATTTCAGGATGGGGAGTCAGCTTCCAGATGGGGCAGCCTCCTGACATGGGTTGGGACTGGATGGAGGGGTGGCTGGGAGAGCCACAGTCCTGCGGTGGGACCTGAGCCAGGCTGGCCCTGGGGGATGTGCCCAGTCAGCAGCAGGACTTCTGGCCCAGGCAGGGACTCAGCAGACTGGGCGGGAGCACACAGGGCGGCAGATCAAGGACACGCAGGAGGATGGGCGGTAGCAGCTGGGCCGGCAGGAGAAGGCGGGGCCACAGTAGGAGGAGGCAGGAAGGCAGCAGGCAGGCCTGCACACAGGGCGGCAGGTGAGGGACACGCAGGAGGAGGACCTGTAGCAGGACGAGGTGCAGGAGGAAGGTCGATAGCAGGATGAGAGGTAGGAGGAGGGTCCGTAGCAGCTCAAGGGGGCTGAGCAGAGCGTGGCCCTAGAACAGACAGGCCTGCGGCACACCCGTTTACAGCAGACTGGCACACTGCAGGAGGTGCAGCAGGAGGGCTGGAGCTGGTGCAGGCTGATTGGCAGGGGCTGGATCCACAGGCCACCTGATTGGCAGGGGCTGGATCCACAGGCCACCTGGCAGCAGGGGCTGGACACACAGCTCACTGGGGCACAGACAAGGGTCAAGCATGAGGCTGGAGCACAGCAGGTGGGGACACAGCAGGTGGGCTGGCAGCAGCTGGGGACACAGCAGGTGGGCTGGCAGCAGTTGGGGGCACAACAGGAGGGCTCACAGCAGCTCTCTGGACAGTCGTCCACCTGCCAGGAGGAGTCCGTGCAAGAGTCATAGGAACCGGGCAGGCAGGCCCGGCTGCCATAGCTCCGGTTGCTGGAGCAGACGGACAGGGCGGATGCAGCCATGGTGGGGCAGTGGGGCTGGAGGAGGGTGTGAGCGTGTGAGTGAGTGTGTGAATGTGTGGGATGCTGAGGGCCGTCCAGCTTTTATGCCCCTCCCTGGCTGTTTATGTTGTCCCAGCAGCAGGCTCACGCGTCCCTTCCTTGTTGACAGTGAGAGTGGCTCCTGGAGAATCTGCAGCAGATGTTTTCTTCCCAGGAGGCATTGCTCAGCTCACAAGACTCTTTACCTTGGCGTGGGGTGCGTTTACCTGTTTATAGTCCTGGAAATAAATCTTGTCTTGATGTGTTAGCGGGATCACTGGGGGCCCGGGCAGAGCCCAGGTGTGTGGGCGGCTAGATCTGGCCCCTGGTCGGGGAGCCCCGAGGTTGCTGCGCTGCGGGCGGAACCAGGTCGTGTTCCTCGTGGTTGGAGGTGTATTTAGTTTCTAAACAAAGACAGTGTGAGTCATAATGTGCACGCGACACTGTATCAGTGTCCTGGGGCTGCGTACCAAGCACCGCAGACAGGGGGCCTCACACAGCAGAAACGCATCTTGTCACAGTCTGGAGGCCAGCAGTCCCAGGTCCCGGTGCCGGCAGGGTTGGCTCTGAGGCTGTGAGGGAGCGCCTGCCCCCGTGTTCTCCCCCAGCTTCTGGTGGCTGCTGTCCATCTTTGGGTTCCTTGGCTTGTAGAAGCAGCACCCGGATCTCCGCCTCCATGTTCACAAGGCCTTGTCCGTGCGTGCCTCTCTGTCCAAATTCCCCCTTTGCGTAAGGACATCAGCCATATCGGATTAGGACCTCATTTGAACTTGACTGTATCTGCAAAGACCCTGTTGCCAGATAAGGTCACATTCGCAGGTCCTGGGGGAGGGGGCGTGGCAACATTTGGGGATGCGATTCAGCCCATCACAAGCACCCCGATGGTCAAAGTTGGGGTGACACAATGCCAGGGTCAGGGGTGGAAGGAGAGGCTGAGTGGGTCTCCTTTCTTGGGGCTTTGGGTCTGCGGCAGGTGAAGGACAGCGTTTGGCAGCACGCACGTGACTTCTGCTTGTCCATGAACGGCTTGAGCTCCTGGGATGATTTTTTTAAAGTTTATTTTCTCAAATAATCATAAAAAGAGGACAGAGAATTTACCTATACCCCTCGCCCAGCTTACTCTGGTGTCGCCATCTTACATAGCCATAGATCAATCCAAATTTTAGAAACCACACTGGTGTTCACTAAAGGACTGACTATTCGAGTCGCCAGTTGCCCACGAACGCCCTCCCTCCGTTCCCTAACCCCGCATGGCACTTGTTAGGTCTCCTTCTTCTCCTGCCTGGGACATTTGCTCAGTGTCCTTCGCACTATGACCTTGACACTTCCGAGGAGCGCTGGTTGGGTGGATTGTAGACGTCCCTCAAGTTGGGTTTGTCTGATGTGTTCTCACAATTCGTCTGGGGCTGCTGTATTTGGGGGCAGAATCTCACAGAAGTCATGTGTCCAGTGAAGCAGAGGTGCAGGCTGTCCACGTGTCTTATCTCTGGGAATGTGACCATTTGTCCCTTTGCAATTTGTACATATTGGGGGAGATTTCTTTTAAGACTTTGCAAATATGCGGTTTCTACTGAAACCTCTGCTCAGTGTCTTCGTTGTTGGTCTGGGGACTGGGTGCAGCCAGTCCCTGCAGCGTTCTCATGGTGATTTTTCCCCTCCTCAATCCATCGCCATTTCCTGGCTAAAATTCTTCTCTAAGGAAGAGTGGTCCCTTCTCCTCCATTTGCTTATTTGTTCTGTTCTTTATTTCAATATGGACTAAAAAGTGCTTATTTTATTGAGTTTATGGCAATGTTATCATTTTCTATTTTTGTTGCTCGAATCATTCCAACTTGGACCATCGGGGGCTTCTTCTTTTGGCTCTTGGGCCCCTTGGGCCTGCCACCCTCCCTGACGTCTCACGTTCTGGTGCGAGCTCACCTGGAGTTTCCCCTGTCCCCTCCCTGGAACCAACCTCTTCTCTGAGGAGCGCTGGTCCTGTTTAGTGGAGGATGGCGTGTAGAGACCAAGGTCTGGAGCCAGGTGTGTCACTGCGGCTAGCGTGTCCCTTCTCCCAGGCCCTCCCCGTGGACGGGGCACGGAGGCACATGTACGTGGACTCACACGTGCCTGAACTTGGGAACACATTTTGTCTTTCCCGCGTGGACCATGTTAGCTGCAGTGTTTTCTAGTTCAGCTTTCTCAAGCTAGAAGTTCCCTTTTATTGCTGAGAGATTCTATCAAGAATGGTGTTGGATTTCATGAAATGCTTTTTTGTGAGGGATTTTTTTGCGTGTGTGGTTAATCCTCACTGGGGATATTTTTTCCACTGATTTTAAAGAGAATGGAAGGATAAGATTTCCATCCCCCCATCTGGCTTACAGTTCAGACCCTCGGCCTCACAGCCCCTCTCTCCAGCATCAACTGCTGCCCACCATTCCCACTGGCACTGCTGCCTGACTCTGTGCTTCCTGCAAAAATGGCTGGAAATGAACCCAGGACTCTCCACGGTCCACTTGGGCAACAGCCCAAGAAAGGTCACTGCTTCGACTCCTAAGGGCAGGTGTCCCTGGGATTTCTGGATCATCCATGGGCCATTGTGCTTTGCAGGGACACATGTCTGGTCCAACGTGACTGCAGTGGGCAGCCGTGTGCCTCATGCCCAGTGCAGGGCAATGGCGAAGCTGTCCTCTCTGACTGGTCACCTGTGTCCTTGCCCACATTCATGGAGGAGAGGCCTGAGGAGGGTTTCCTGAGGGCAGGGATGTAATCACACCCCCTGGTATACTAGCCTGTGCTGGGCACGGCAAGATGAGCTGGGACGGCCCGAGGGAACACCGGGACCTAGAAAACGCTGTTCATCATGCCAGCAGGGAATGGTGGCATCGGTCCTGGTACAGGCAGGAAAAGAGCACCCGCTCTAGGTGTGTGCAGGGGGACAGAACCAGCCAGTGCCTGTAAACTGCCTGGGACGGAGGAGCCTGGCATGGCTGTGGCTCCTCACTCTCTCAGTCTCAGCTGCAGGGACCACTATTGTGTCCCCATGTCTGGTTGGCGATGTGGCACTGCTGAGGGCACCGGGGATGCCATGCTTGATCTCTCATCTCTCAGCCCCAGATGCCTTATGTGTGTGAGCCTGTCCCCTGTGGGACCATGCACTCCCAGGGACCAGGGCTGGGACATGTCCCTCAACACAGCCAGCACAGCCAGGCCGTGGGGGCGGGCAGGAGAGGTCACCGGCAGGCCCAGGTGGGTGGTTAACTGGTGATAATCGCGATACCAGCCCTCGGGGTCCTTGCGAGGATTCACTACCGTCTGAGACCCGGCCAGCCACACGGGTGCCCTGTAAACATCCTGGCATAACCCGCCTGTGATTTCCTTGACACAGATCTGCGCCCCCTGGACATCCTGGCAGAGGCGGTCCCTCCGAATGGCGCTGAGAGCGGCATCAGCGTGACACGGGTTCAAGGAGCGCTGGGACTCCAGCTCTCCAGCCCCCATGCCATGAGCTTCCCTGCTTCGAGGATTTTCGTCAGATGTGACCTCTTCCCTGAAGAATTTTCCATCGTTGTAACCTTGAAAGCTCCCCCTCTCCCCCCTAAGGTCAGTGACGCTTCTCCTCTGCGTGTTAGGACAGTGGATGTCCTCAGTGCAGCGTGCGAAGGGCACGGCTGACTCGGGGGCAGGAGGCACCGATCAAGGTCTCCCAGGCCGTTGGGGTCAGCGTGCCAGCCTTGGTGGGTAGCGAGGTCCCCGTCGCTTGGAGTGGGCAGGCAGAGCCGGTGCAGCCATTTGCTCAGGGTTTGTACTAGCAGTTCTTGCCGTTATAATTTTCCTGGTGGCCAATTTGAGTTAATTTTTGTGTATGGTATAAGGTAGGGGTCCAATTTCATTCTTTTTGCCTATGGATTTCCAGTTATCCCAACCTGTCAAAGGCTGGGCTAGAAATACTGCTTAGAGTTTTGAGTTTGACATCACTTAACAGGAAAAGTAAACTGTAAACTAACAAAACTTACCCTTTTGGGGACTGATTATGTGTGCCATCATTCCTTTTTATGACCAAATCATATTCATCGGTACAGATACACTACAATTTGTTTATCCACTCACTGGTTGACAGACACTTATGTTCTTTCTACCTGTTGGCTGTTGTGAGTAATGCTGCTATGAACATTCAGGTACATGGTTTTGTACGGACAAACATTTTTATTTTGGAGCTCACATACCTGGGAGTGGGATTGCTGGCTCATGGTGACTCTATGATTCACTTGGAGGAACAGACGGATTGTTTCCTGAGGTAGCTGAGCCATCTTACACTCCCACCAGCAGTGATTGGGGGTTGCAATTTCTCCACATCCTCGTCAACACTTGTTATTATCTGACTTTTGTATTCTAGCCGTCCTCATGAGCCTGAAACAGTATTGCATTGAGGCTTTGATTTGCATTTCCCTGATGAATAATGATGTTGCGTGTTTTCCATGTGTGAATTTGTGTATCTTTTTTTGGAGAAAGGTCTTTTCAAATCCTTCACCCAGTTGTTGGTTTTTTTAATCCTTATCCAATGATATGTTTTTATCGATTTTAAAAGAGAGAGAAAAAGGAGAGGCATCAATGTGAGAGAGTAACGTCAATTGGTTGCCTCCTATAGTGTGGGTTCCAAGACAACGCACTTCCTAGGCGTGTGACAAACCCTTTCTGTTTACAAGTCCAAGTCCTTGCTCTTCCATAAGTGTGACTGGGGATTGAACCTGCAACCTAGGTATGTGCTCCAACTGGGAATCAAGCCCACAACCTTCTGGTGAAAGGGACGATGCTCCAACCAACTGAGCCACCTGGCAAGGGCCCTTTGCCCAGTTTTTAATTGCGTTATTTTCCTTTTTTATTAGTGAGTTACATGAATTTATATATTCTAGATAAAGTCACCTACCACATATGATTAGCACATATTTTCTCCTGTTCTGTTGGTTGTCTTCTCACTTTCTTGGTAGTGCCCTTTGAAGCACAAAACCAACTTTTAATTTTGGTAGAGTCAGATTTATCTTAGTTTTCCTTTCTTGCTTATATTTTTAGTGTCATATCTTAGAATCTAGCACCAAATCTGAGGTCATGAAAATTTACCCCAATGCTTTCTTTTAAGAGTTTTATAGCTTTACCTCTTATATTTAGGTCTTTGGCCAATTTGAGTTAATTTTTTGTGTATGGTATAAGGTAGGGGTCCAATTTCATTCTTTTTGCCTATGGATTTCCAGTTGTCCCAACCCCATTTGTTGAAGAGACTATTCTTTTCCCATTGAATGGTCTTGGAACCTTGTTGAAGTCAGTCAGCCATACATGTATGAGTTTATTTCTGGACTCTCAATTTTATTTCATTGATAAATCAATATTGTCTGTTCTTATGCCAGCACCACACTGTCTTGATTCTTGTAGCTTTGTAGTAAATCTTGAAATTGGGAAGTGTGAGTCTTCCAAATTTGTTCTTGTTCAAGATTGTTTTGGCTATTCACTCCTCGTAACTCCATATGAATTGCAAAATCAACTTGTCAGCCTTTACTAAGAAGTCGGCTTGGGTTCTGAGAAGGACTGCACAGATATGCAGATAGATCGGGGAGTGTTGCTTCTTAGCAATATTGTCTTCTGATCCATGAACATGGGATGTTTCTCACTGATTTAGAACTTCTTTGACATAAAAACAATGCCTTGCAGTTCTCAGAATATTAATTTTGCAGTTCTTTTGTTCCTGAGTACTTGTTCATCTCATCTAGTTTATATCATTTATTGGTAAGTCATCAAATTGGGTCCAAGTTCTCCCCTCTCTCCTCAACCTGCTCCAATTCCTGCACCTTGTCAGTCCTGTGACAGGACATGCCCATCTGGTTGATAAACTTTCCTTCCTTACACCATATACTTATTCACATTTTCTTTCCTGATCCTAGTGCAATGTGGCGGGGGCTGAGGAGCAGGGCGCATGCACAGCCCCCCAGGACTCCTGACATAACCTCCTGTGACTTTTCATGGGAAAAGAGAACCAGAAAAAGCCAGGAGTCCAAGTGTGGCATGACCATGGAGCAGCCCCCCTGTGCTTGCCTGGCACCTCCACATGCACGCATGTCAATCATAAGGCCTCTGGGGGCCTAGTGCTGCTGGAACCCACTCCCACACCTGCCCTCTCCTCCTTGGCACCCCATGGCCCTCCCTCCTGGTGTGGGGTCCTGGGGGTGGTGAACACAGTGTTTCCTTCACTGTCAGCTGCTGCTTATCAAAGGCACACTAGGCTGTCCCTGTGGGCACCACCGGAAGTCCCTCAGGAGAAACCCCCATGAGAGCGTGGTTGATGTACACTCAGGCACCATCCCTCATGCACCTCAGCTCCACCCAGGCTACTCTCGGCCATTGACCAAGCACAGCAGGGGACCTGCAGGGCACACGTCTCCTCTCACAGGCCTCTTTGCTCCAGGAACCCCCACCTGTTGGAGGCCTTCTCAGAGCTACGTTGTGGTCTGAGGTGCTGCTCACCCGGCCTTCTGTTCTCCGCATCCGCTCAAAGGAGGCAGCTGAGTCTTGGCCCACTTGGGCTCCCTTCGCCTGCTTGGCTCCTCCCACCTGCTCAGCTCATCCTACTCTCTCATGGACATTCCTGCAATAACTCCCTGGCAGAGCTATCCTGTTGGCATCTGCTCCGTAGAGAACCCACACTGACAAGTGAACCATTACTCTTATAAAGAAAGAGAGGGCCGGGCCAGTGTGGCTCAGAGGCTGAGCGTCGACCTATGAACCAGGAGGTCATGGTTCAATTCCCAGTCAGGGCACATGACAGGGTTGCAGGGTTGTGGGCTTCATTCCGAGTGGGGGGTGTGCAGGAGGCAGCCAATCTATGATTCTTTCTCATTATTGATGTTTCTATCTCTCTTCCTTTCCCGTCCTCTCTGAAATCAATAAAAAAATATATTTAAAAAAGAAAAGAAAAGAAAGAGAGGGAGGGAGAAAGAAAACATGACCAGTTTAGCTATGACCCAATAGTAGATCAATATTCTTGTACATGATACGTGAAAAATTCACACCAACTTCTTGTTGCCTGTAAATTACTCCAATCTGTTCTAAGAAGATTCTGGCAAAAATTTCTCCTCCATTTGCATGTAGCTCAGTTTAAAAACGTAACGTCTTGCCCAGCTGGCGTGGCTCAGTGGTTGGGTATCGACCTATGAACCAGGAAGTCACGGTTCAATTCTGCTTTTTATTACTCTGTCTCGCCCGATTGCTGTGGCTAGAACTTCCAGGACAATGTTGAATGGAAGTGGTGATAGTGGGTGTCCTTGTCTTGCTCCTGATCTCAGAGGAAAGGCTTTCAGCTTTCCACCACTGCGTGTGGTATTAGCTGTGGGTTTGTCATGTGTGGCCTTTATTATGCTGGGATATGTTCCTTTTACACCCACTCTGTTGAGAGTTTTTATCATAAAAGGGTGTTGAATTGTGTCAAATGCTTTTTCTGCATCTATTGAGATGATTATATGGTTTCTATCCTTTATTTTTGAATGGGATATATTGCAGTAATTGATTTATGGGTGTTGAGCCATTCTTGCATCCCTGGGATGAATCCCACTTGGTCATGGTATATAATTCTTTTAATGTATTCTTGTATCTCACTGGCTAATATTTTGTTGAGAATAGAATAACCATTCTTTTTAAGTGCATGAAAAACAGGGACCAATATAGACCACATTTACTAAGATAGACCACATTGTGGGCTGTAAAACGTGTCTCAACAAATGTAAAAGAATTTAAATTACACAGTGCATGGACTCTCATCACAATGTAATTAAATTAGAACCTCAGTATTAAAAAGATTATGTGAAGCCCCCAAATATTCAAAAATAAGACCGACTTGTAAAGAGCATGTAGATCAAAGAAGAATGAAAGGGAAAATTAGAAAATATTTGAACTATACAGAAATTAAACACATGTCAAAATGTGTGGCATCCTGCTAAAGCAATACTAAGGGGGGAATTTAGAGTACTGAATGTCCTTTTCAGAAAACAAGGAAGTTCAGTCCTAGCCACTTTGGCTCTGTGGTTAGAGCAGCCGTGGGCAAACTACGGCCCGCGGGCCGGATCCGGCCAGTTTGAAATGAATAAAACTAAAAGAAAAAAAGACCGTACCCTTTTATGGAATGATGTTTACTTTGAATTTATATTAGTTCACACAAACACTCCATCCATGCTTTTGTTCCGGCCCTCCGGTCCAGTTTAAGAACCCATTGTGGCCCTCGAGTCAAAAAGTTTGCCCACCCCTGGGTTAGAGTGTCAGCTCGTGGACTGAAGGGTCACAGGTTTGATTCTGGTCAAGGGTGCTCACCTCAGTTGCAGGCTTCTCCGGGCCCCAGGAGGGGTGCTTGCAGGAGACAACAAATTGATGTTTCTCTCTCACATCGATGTTTCTCTCTGTGTGTCTTTCCCCATCCTTACACTCTCTCTAAAAATCAATGGGGCAAAAATATCCTCAGGTGAGGATTAACAAAACAAAACAAAAATAAAACTACTTATAATAATAATAAAAAATAATAATAAAGAAAACAAAAAAGTTCTTAAATAAATGACCTTACCTTCTACTTTAAGAAGCTAGGATGCAAATAAAGCTCAGAGCAGAAAGACAATGCCAAAGATCAGTGAGGAAAGCAATGAAATGGGAAAAAAGAAATGGGGTGGCGGGGGACACACCCAATGCTGTTTCCTTGAAAAGATCAAAAACATTGATAAATCTTTATCCATACTGACCAGCAAAACAAAGAGAGAAGACACTAGTCCCCAATATCATGCGACATCATTAGAGATCCTACAGACACTGAAAGTATAATAAGGACATTATGAACAACTTTATGTCCACAAATTTGACAACCTAAATAAAATGGACAAATGCCTTGACAGAAACAAACTGCCAAACCCACTCAAGAAGAAATATATAACCAGAGTAGCTCTATATCTATTGAAAATATTGAATGTGTAGTTAAAGACCTTCGCACAACCCAGCTGTCCTTTGACAGATAAATGGTTAAGCAACCTGGACGTCCACACCATAGAGCGTCATCCTCAATAGAAAGGACCAAATCAGTGACATCCCAGCAGCTTGCTTGGATTGCAAGGGAATTACGCCGTCTGAGAAAGTCCCTCTGGAGAAGTGACACAGTGTATGACTCCATTTATATACGTTCTTGGCATAGCTGAGAATAGAGATGGAGAAGTGAGAGGTGGTTGTCAGGGATTAGGGGTGAGAGTACAGGTGAGTATGGTCTAAAGGGGTGGATGTGGGAGCCTTTCAGTAATGGTACAACACTGTGTCTAATGGTGGGGGTGATTATATGATCTTCAAATGTGAAAATACTGCATAGAAACACACACACACACACACAGTGCATGTAAATCTGATGAAATCTGTATAAAACCGGTGGATTTTCAATCTCCTGGTTGTGATTTGTGCTAAGGTTAGGTAGGATGCTATCAGAGGGTAAGAGGGTAAGGGTGAGGTTAAGGCCCCTCTCCCCCAGTGCACACCAGACAGATGTGCAAGCAGGGCTGAGAAAGATGCTGTCCTGGCTCCCTTCCGAATTCCCAGGACTGCCTGTCGGCCCAGAGACCACTCCGGCCCAATGTCCACACCTCCCCACTCCTCACCTACGTGTGGGTGTGAAGCAGCAAACCAAGCAGACCTGGCCCAGTGAGGGTCCAGAGGAGACCGGCCATCCCCGAGGTCCTCTCCAGGAGCACGAGGAGCAGGCCTCTAACAATCCGCGGGACCCAACACAACCACAAGCAGCCCTACCGGCGACCACCTCCACCATCTGCCTGAGAGAATGGCGGCCACACATTGCCCCGAACCATCAGGACCTGCAGGAGGAACCGTTTGACCAAGCAGGGCCCTAGCGCCAGTTTCCCCGAGGGCCAAACAGGGGTCAGGCTCCCATCACGGTCCCCACGGGCATCTGACTCACCTAATGAGGCTTCCGGGCCCTGCACTGACCCAACAAGGAAAGGGGGCATGTGAGCCTTTTGTAGGGACAACAAAGGCCAGGGACCAGATATAAAAGCGCTGGAGACCTAGGACAATTTACACACACTCATAGGCACGCACATACCCGTTCGGTCCTCCCAGCTCACCACCAGCCTCTGCCCCACCATGGCCGCTTCCACCCTGTCCGTCTGCTCCAGCAACCGGAGCTATGGCAGCCGGGCCTGCCTTCCCGGGTCCTATGACTCTTGCACAGACTCCTCCTGGCAGGTGGACGACTGTCCAGAGAGCTGCTGTGAGCCTTCCTGCTGCGCCCCCACCTGCTGTGTCCCCAGCTGCTGCCAGCCTTCCTGCTGCACCTCCAGCTGCTGTGTCCCCAGCTGCTGCCAGCCCTCCTGCTGCACCCCCAGCTGCTGTGTCCCCAGCTGCTGCCAGTCCACTTGTTGCACCCCGACCACCTGCCTGACCCTTGTCTGTGCCCCAGTGAGCTGTGTGTCCAGCCCCTGCTGCCAGGTGACCTGTGGGTCCAGCCCCTGCCAGTCAACCTGCACCAGCTCCTGCACACCCTCGTGCTGCCAGCCCTCCTGCTGCACCTCCTCCCCCTGCCAGCAGGCCTGCTGTGTGCCCGCCTGCTGCACACCCGTCTGCTGCACACCCGTCTGCTGTAAGCCAGTCTGTTGTAGGCCTGTCTGTTGCAAACCTGTCTGCTGCACACCCGTCTGCTGCAAGCCCGTCTGTTCTGGGGCCACCCCCTGCCCAGCCCCTTCGAGCTGCTGCAGACCCTCCTCCTGCGTGTCCCTCATCTGCCGCCCCGTGTGCAGGCCTGCCTGCTGCGTGCCCGCCTCCTCCTGCTGTGGCCCTGCCTCCTCCTGCCAGCCCAGTTGCTGCCGCCCATCCTCCTGCATGTCCCTGTTCTGCCGCCCCGTGTGCTCCCGCCCGGCCTGCTGTGTCCCCACCTCGGCCCAGACGTCCTGTTGCTGAGCAGGCATGTCCCCCAGGACCAGCCGAACTCGGGTCTCATCCCGTGACTGTGGTCCTCCCAGCCGCCCCTCAGTCTGGTCCTGAGCAGTGTCAGGTGGCTGCCCCCACTCAGGATGGGGAACCTCAGTCTCCACTAACCTGACCTGACCTCTGCCCTCAGGACACCTGGACCTCACTGCTCCCTGGGCTTCTGCCTCCTACACGATGCCTCCACCTGCCCAGGGCCACCTGTCCTTCCCTCCTAGTTTCTCTGTTGAGTCACTTGACCTCTACTCTCAGCTGGTCAGCACCTCCTCGGGCACCCAATAAACTCACCTCAGCACCTGATCGCTTCCTTCTTCTGATTTCATGGGGGAGGGACGGGGACATGTGGTTTTCACCAGACATTGGTCCGCTCCAGCCACGGATATTTCTAGAAATGAGTGGCTCAGAGATCTCAAAGTGCAGTGGCCTAACTCCTCCTGGTGGGGCACCAGGACCCGAGGTCAGTGCCTGCTGGGCCTGTGCCTGGACTTCCTCAGGCTGGTCTCCTGCAGAAAGTCATGGTCTAAGGCAGGGGTCCTCAAACTACGGCCTGCGGGCCACATGCAAATACAAATATTGTATTTGTTCCCGTTTTGTTTTTTTACTTCAAAATAAGATATGTGCACTGTACATAGGAATTTGTTCAAAATTTTCTTTTAAACTATAGTCCAGCCCTCCAATGATCTGAGGGACAGTGAACTGGCCCCTGTTTAAAAGTTTGAGGACCCTGCTGTAGGAGTGTCAGGCCCAGAGGCCATTCACCCACTGTCCCATCTGAAATGCCTGGGCTCCTTGCAGCACAGACTGTGGGCCTGGGGCCTCCCCTGTGGTCCGCCCACAGGTCTGCACTGTGAGCAGAGACCTGATGGAGGGAAGCAGGGAGGGGCTGCTCCAACCCTGATAGAGTCAGAGGGACTGGATGACCTTCCCGCCAGGGCCACACCAAACAATTAGCAAATCCTGGAGTCATGTATTCAGATGCTGGACTTGAAGATCACAGAACAGGGACCCCTGAGGGAGGGGAACAAAGACAGTGAGTCTCACAGTTGCCCCAACTCACCATCATGAGAGCATTTCCACTCTCCTGTGCAAAAATGGAAAACCCAAGCGCCCCATACACCCCTGAGTCAGAAGTGGCCTTGGGCGTTGAGGGAGCCTCAGGCAGCTAGTGTTTATGGCCAGAGTGACAGAGAGGGGAGACCTTCCCTGAGTCACTCTTGGTCCTCAGAGGGTCTCCCTCAAGTGTCAGCTAAGTAATGGTCAGCAACCCCATGTGAGTCTGGGATTGAGGAAACCCACAAAACTAGAGGGCTCATCCCAGACACCAAACATGCCCACAGCAGCGCCTATTCCCTCCTGCCAGGTGGAACACGGTCCTGATTCAGGACATCGGGAGACCACTCAGGGGGCATTGCCTCCTTTGTGGGTAAAATGAGCCCCAGTGGTTAAGTCCTACCTGACAAAGCTGATAGCAAACTCTAAAGAATGAGCCAGTCCCCAGAATTTTTAGGATTTTCTGCATTTAATATGATAGCATCTGTGAACACAGATTATTTTGCTTTTTTCTGATTTAGATGCCCTTTATTCCTTTCACTGTCTATCTGCTTTCCCAGAGTTTCCAGTCCTATGGAGAATGGAGGTGGCACAAGTGGGCATCCTTATCTTGTTTCTGATCTTAGAGGAAGAGCTTTCAGTCTTTAAAATTGAGTGTGATATTTGCTGTAGGTTATTCATACATATTCATCTATATATTCATATATACTTATATATATGCTGTTTCCTTCCATTTCTAGTTTGTTGAGTATTTTTATCATGAAAGTTTGTTGAATTTTGTCAAATGTGGAGGGTTTTTTTGCATCAGTTGAGACGGTCATGTATTTTCCTCCTCATTCTATCAATGTTGTATATTACACTGATCAACTATCACATGTAGAACCATCCTTGCATTTCAGCAATGGATCTCTCTTGGGTGAGTGTATAAATCTCTTAATCTGCTGCTAAATTTGATTTGTTAGTATTTTTTGAGTGTTTTTACATCAATGTTCATAAGGGATATTGACCTGCAGCTTTCTTTTCTTGTAGTGTGTTTGTCTGTCTCTGGTATCACAGTAATACGGGCCTTATAGGATGAGTTAGGGAGAGTTCCCTCTGAAGGTTACAGTGAGCTCGGGATGAACAAAAAATCCTTAACTTGATATAAGGCATCTATGACTCTCACAGCCAACACCACACTCCATTGTAAAGACAACACTTTTCCTTGAGACTAGGAACAAGACACAGATGTCCCCTCCCACCACACTATTCAGCCTCATACTGAGGGTCTGAGCCAGAACAAGACAAGAGAAAGAAGTAAATGGCAGGCATATTGGAAATGCAGAAATGAAATGGTCTCTATTCACAGAGGACATGATTGTCCACATAGAACACCCCCAGGAATCTATAAAAGGTCTCCTGGAAATATAAGAGTTTGGAAAGATTGAAGAATGCAAACTTAAAATAATAATTAATTGTAGTTCTATACGGAGGTGGGCAAAAGGAGATTTACAGTTATGAGTACATGAAACAGAGCTTATTCTTATGTTGTTGTTTGTTTTTGAATAATTTTATTATTGATTTGTATTCTTTGCCTCCTTATTATTGTTATTATTTTGTATCCTTACCTATGATTTATATTTTAGCTAATGATGACTGGTAATTTAACCTACTTTTGCCACCTCCATATAATATTAATAAAGAATTGGATTTCAAACTTTCTGTTTAAAAGTATGACTTACAACAAAATAAAAAATGAAAAATAGCATAAATGTAACATAATGAAAACTATAAAAACACTGATGAAATGAACTAAAGCAGGCATGAATAAATGGAGAATTAGAGCATCTTCATGGGTGGAGACATTGTGATGTCAGTTACCTTCGCATTGATCTGTACATTCAAGGCAATCCCAATAAAAATAGCAGCAGAATTATTTTTTGTTGTCAATAAGCTGAATGTAAAAGTATTTGGAAAGGCAAAGGAGCTCAAATAGCCAAAGCTATTGTCATTCTTGCTGTTTGAGACCCTCGTCCGTCTATCTTCCCCTTTACTGCGTTCCGCTGTGGCTGGTGCCCCCTCCTCAGCCGCCTGTGTGTGGGGATGTCCAGCAGCGTAGGCAGCAGAACCCCAATTTCAGCCCCTGCTGCCCAGCCTCTGACTCTGGGATTCAAACCATCCCTTGCAACATCAGGGAGAACAGCTGGCAGTGGAGAAGGGCAGGGCGGGTGGGGCTGCCAGGGCTCCCCCACTCCAGATGTTTCCAGGGGTGTTTGCTTGGGAAACACACAGGGCAGGGGGCCAACCCCCTCTTCAACAAAACAGACTTTTTACAAGCAGCAGACTCTTTCCTGGAAATAATCCAGAGGAAATACGGGCGCCCAGGACTCAGCTCAAAATATCAACAAGGAAAGGAGGCGTGGGGAGCCTACTGCTGGAAAACAAACACCCAGGAGGGTATAAAAGCCAACAGCCCTGGGCATCTTACACACTCACACTCACTAACTCACTCACACACTCACACACTCACACCCTCCTCCAGCCCCACTGCCCCACCATGGCCGCTTCCAACCTGTCTGTCTGCTCCAATGGCCTGAGCTATGGCAGTCGGGCCTGCCTTCCCGGGTCCTGTGACTCTTGCATGGACTCCTCCTGGCAGGTGGACGACTGTCCAGAGAGCTGCTGTGAGCCCTCCTGCTGCGCCCCCACTTGCTGTGTCCCCAGCTGCTGCCAGCCCTCCTGCTGCACCCACAGCTGCTGTATCCCCAGCTGCTGCCAGCCCTCCTGCTGCACCTCCAGCTGCTGTGTCCCCAGCTGCTGCCAGCCCTCCTGCTGCACCCCCAGCTGTTGTACCCTGACCCCATGCCTGACCCTTGTCTGTGCCCCAGTGAGCTGTGTGTCCAGCCCCTGCTGCCAGGTGATCTGTGGGTCCAGCCCCTGCCAGCCAACATGCACCAGTTCCTGCACACCCTCGTGCTGTCAGCCCTCCTGCTGCACCTCCTCCCCCTGCCAGCAGGCCTGCTGTGTGCCCGCCTGCTGCACACCCGTCTGCTGCACACCCGTCTGCTGTAAGCCAGTCTGTTGTAGGCCTGTCTGTTGCAAACCTGTCTGCTGCACACCCGTCTGCTGTAAGCCAGTCTGTTGTAGGCCTGTCTGTTGCAAACCTGTCTGCTGCACACCCGTCTGCTGCAAGCCCGTCTGTTCTGGGGCCACCCCCTGCCCAGCCCCTTCGAGCTGCTGCAGACCCTCCTCCTGCGTGTCCCTCATCTGCCGCCCCGTGTGCAGGCCTGCCTGCTGTGTGCCCGCCTCCTCCTGCTGTGGCCCTGCCTCCTCCTGCCAGCCCAGCTGTTGATGCCCACCCAGCCTCCTGCATGTCCCTGCTGCTGAGCAAACATGTCCCCCAGGACCAGCCTGGCTGAGTTTTCACCCTGTGACTGTAGTCCTCCCAGCCGCCCCTCAGTCTGGTCCTGAGCAGTGTCAGGTGGCTGCCCCCACTCAGGATGGGGAACCTCAGTCTCCACTAACCTGACCTGACCTCTGCCCTCAGGACCCCTAGACCCCACTGCTCCCTCGGCTTCTGCCTCCTACACGATGCCTCCACCTGCCCAGGGCCACCTGTCCTTCCCTCCTAGTTTCTCTGTTGAGTCACTTGACCTCTACTCTCAGCTGGTCAGCACCTCCTCGGGCACCCAATAAACTCACCTCAGCACCTGATCGCTTCCTTCATCTGATTTCATCGGGGAGGGGTGGGGCCATGTGGTTTTCACCAGACATAGGTCCACTCCAGCCACAGATATTTCTAGAAATGAGTAGCTGAGAGATCCCAAAGGGCAGTGGCCTAACTCCTCCTGGTGGGGTGCCAGGGCCCGAGGTCAGTGCCTGCTGGGCCTCTGCCTGGGCTTCCTCAGGCTGGTCTCCTGCAGAAAGTCATGGTCTAGGAGTGTCAGGCCCAGGGGCCATTCACCCACTGTCCCATCTGAAACGCCTGGGGCTCCTTGCAGCACAGACAGTGGGCCTGTGGCCTCCCCAGTGGTCCGCCCACAGGTCTGCACTGTGAGCAGAGACCTGATGGAGGGAAGCAGGGAGGGGCTGCTCCAACCCTGATAGAGTCAGAGGGACTGGATGACCTTCCCGCCAGGGCCACACCAAACAATTAGCAAATCGTGGAGCCATGGTATTCAGATGCTGGACTTGAAGGTCACAGAACAGGGACTCCTGAGGGAGGGGAACCAACAGAGTGAGCCTCACAGTCGGCCCGACTCACCGCCATGAGAGCATGTCCAGGCCCTGGTGCAAAAATAGAAAACCCAGGCGCTCCATGCACCCCTGAGTCAGAGGCGGCCCTGGGATTTGGGGGAGCCCCAGGCAGCTGTAGTTTATGGCCAGAGTGACAGAGAGCGAAGACCTGCCCTGAGTAACTCTTTGTCCTCAAAAGGTTTCCCTCAAGTGTCAGCTAAGTAATGACCAGCAACCCCATGTGAGTCTGGGATTGGGGAAACCCACAAAACTAGAGGGCTCATCCCAGACATCAGACATGCCTACAGCAGCGCCTATTCCCTCCTGCCTGGTGGAACATGGTCCTGATTCAGGACATCGGGGAGACCACTCAGGGGGCATTGCCTCCGTTGTGGGTAAAATGAGCCCCAGTGGTTCAGTCCTACCTGACAAAGCTGATAGCAAACTCTAAAGAATGAGCCATTCCCCAGAATTTTTAGGATTTTCTACATTTAATATGATAGCATCTGTGAACACAGATTATTTTGCTTTTTTCTGATTTAGATGCTGTTTATTTCTTTCACTGTATCTGCTTTCCCAGAGTTTCCAGTCCTATGGAGAATGGAGGTGGCACAAGTGGGCATCCTTATCTTGTTTCTGATCTTAGAGGAAGAGCTTTCAGTCTTTCAAAATTGAGTGTGATGTTTGCTGTAGGTTTTCCATACATATTCATTTTTTATTCATATATATTTATATATATGCTGTTTCCTTCCAGTTCTAGTTTGTTGAGTATTTTTACATACAACTATCATATGTAGAACCATCCTTGCATTTCAGCAATAGATCTCTCTTGGCTGAGGTGTATAAATCTCTTAATCTGCTGCTGAATTTGATTTGTTAGTAATTTGTTTAGTGTTTTTACAGCAATGTTCATAGGGCCTATTGACCTGTACCTTTCTTTTCTTGTAGTGTCTTTGTCTGGCTCTGGTATCAGTAATCCTGGCCTCAGAGATTGAGTTAGGGAAGGTTCCCTCTGAAGTTTACAGTGACCTAGGAATGAACAAAAAATCCTTAACTTGAACTGACTGGTTTGGCTCAGTGGATAGAGCGTCGGCCTGCGGACTGAAAGGTCCCAGGTTCGATTCCGGTCCAGGACATGTACCTTGGTTGTGGGCACATCCATAGTAGTAGGTGTGCAGGAGGCAGCTGATCGATGTTTCTCTCTCATCGATGTTGCTAACTATCTCTCTCTCCTCTCTGTAAGAAGTGAATAAAATATATTAAATAATAAAAAAAAAGAAATGCTTACTGCATGCCCTGGCTGGTTTGGCTCAGTGGGTAGAGCATCGGCCTGTGGACGGAAAGATCCTGGGATCAATTCCCGTCAAGGACACATGCCCGGGTTGTGGGCTTGGTCCCCAGTGGGGGCATGCAGGAGGCAGCCAATCAGTGATTCTCTCTCATCATTGATGTTTCTATCTCCTCTCCGTCTCCCTTCCTCTCTGAAATCAATAAAAGTATAATTTTAAAAAAAATCCTTAACTTGATATAAGGCATCTATGAAACTCTCACAGCCAACATCACATTCCATTGAAAAGACACTTTTCCCTGAGACTAGGAATAAGACACAGGTGGCCCCTGCCATCACACTATTCAGCTTCATACTGAGGGTCTGAGCCAGCACAAGACAAGAGAAAGAAGTAAAGGGCATGCATATTGGTAATGAAGAAATAAATTGTCTCTATTCACAGAGGACATGATTGTCCACATAAAACACCCCCAGGAATCTACAAAAGGTCTCTTGGAAATATAAGAGTTTGGCAAGGATGAAGAATGAAAACTTAAAATAATAAAAATTAATTGTACTTCTACACGGAGGTGGGCAAAAGGAGATTTACAGTTATGAGTGAACGACACTGAGCTTATTCTTATGTTATTGTTTGTTTTTTAATAATTGTATTATTTATTGGTATTACTTGTCTCATTATTATTGTTATTATTTTGCATCCTTACCTATGATTTTTGTTTTAGCTAATGTTGACTGGTAATTTAATATACTTTTGCCCACCTCCATATAATATTAATAAACAATTGGATTTCAAACTTTTTGTTTAAAACTATGACTTACAACAAAATAAAAAATGAAAAATAGCATAAATGTAACATAACGAAAACTATAAAAACACTGATGAAATGAACCGAAGAAGACATGAATAAATGGAGAATTAGAGCATCTTCACGGTGGAGACATTGTGATGTCAGTTACCTTCGCATTGATCTGTACATTCAAGGCAATCCCAATAAAAATAGCAGCAGAAGTATTTTTTGTTGTCAATAAGCTGAATGTAAAAGTATTTGGAGGGCAAAGGAGCTCAAATAGCCAAAGCTATTGTCATTCTTGCTGCTGGAGACCCTCGTCCGTCTATCTTCCCCTTTACTGCGTTCCGCTGTGGCTGGTGCCCCCTCCTCAGCCGCCTGTGTGTGGGGATGTCCAGCAGCGATGAGCAGCAGAGCCCCAATTTCAGCCCCTGCTGCCCTGCCTCTGACTCTGGGATTCAAACCATCCCTTGCAACGTCAGGGAGAACAGCTGGCAGTGGAGCACGGCAGGGCAGGGGGGGCTGCCAGCGCTCCCCCACTCCAGATGTTTCCAGGGGTGTTTGCTTGGGAAACACACACAGGGCAGGGGGCCAAGCCCCTCTTCAACAAAACAGACTTTTTACAAGCAGCAGACTCTTCCCTGGAAATAATCCAGAGGAAATACGGGCGCCCAAGACTCAGCTCAAAATATCAACAAGGAAAGGAGGCGTGGGGAGCCTCCTGTTTGGGAAATAAACACCCAGGAGGGTATAAAAGCCAACAACCCTGGGCATCTTACACACTCACACTCACTCACACACTCACACACTCACACCCTCCTCCAGCCCCACTGCCCCACCATGGCCGCTTCCAACCTGTCTGTCTGCTCCAATGACCTGAGCTATGGCAGCCGGGCCTGCCTGCCCGGGTCCTATGACTCTTGCACGGACTCCTCCTGGCAGGTTGACGACTGTCCAGAGAGCTGCTGTGAGCCCTCCTGCTGCTCCCCCACTTGCTGTGTCTCCAGCTGCTGCCCGCCTTCCTGCTGTACCCCTAGCTGCTGCCAGCCTTCCTGCTGCACCTCCAGTTGCTGTGTCCCCAGCTGCTGCCAGTCTACCTGTTGCACCCCCAGCTGTTGTACCCTGACCCCCTGCCTGACCCTTTTCTGTGCCCCAGTGAGCTGCGTGTCCAGCCCCTGCTGCCAGGTGACCTGTGGGTCCAGCCCCTGTCAATCAGCCTGCACCAGCTCCTGCACACCCTCGTGCTGCCAGCAGTCTAGCTGCCAGCCCTCCTGCTGCACCTCCTCCCCCTGCCAGCAGGCCTGCTGTGTGCCCGCCTGCTGCACACCTGTCTGCTGCACACCCGTCTGCTGTAAGCCAGTCTGTTGTAGGCCTGTCTGTTGCAAACCTGTCTGCTGCACACCCATCTGCTGCAAGCCCGTCTGTTCTGGGGCCACCCCCTGCCCAGCCCCTTTGAGCTGCTGCAGACCCTCCTCCTGCGTGTCCCTCATCTGCCGCCCCGTGTGCAGGCCTGCCTGCTGCGTGCCCACCTCCTCCTGCTGTGGCCCTGCCTCCTCCTGCCAGCCCAGCTGTTGATGCCCGCCCATCCTCCTGCATGTCCCTGCTCTGCCGCCCCGTGTGCTCCCGCCCGGCCTGCTGCGTCCCCACCTCAGCCCAGAAGTCCTGCTGCTGAGCAGGCATGTCCCCCAGGACCAGCCGAACTCGGGTCTCACCCCGTGACTGTGGTCCTCCCAGCCGCCCATCAGTCTGGTCCTGAGCAGTGTCAGGTGGCTGCCCCCACTCAGGACGGGGAACCTCAGTCTCCACTAACCTGACCTGACCTCTGCCCTCAGGACCCCTGGACCTCACTGCTCCCTGGGCTTCTGCCTCCTACACGATGCCTCCACCTGCCTGAGGGCCACCTGTCCTTCCCTCCTAGTTTCTCTGTTGAGTCACTTGACCTCTACTCTCAGCTGGTCAGCACCTCCTCGGGCACCCAATAAACTCACCTCAGCACCTGATCGCTTCCTTCATCTGATTTCATTGGGGAGGGGTGGGGCCATGTGGTTTTCACCAGACATAGGTCCGCTCCAGCCACAGATATTTCTAGAAATGAGTGGCTGAGAGATCCCAAAGGGCAGTGGCCTAACTCCTCCTGGTGGGGAACTGTTGGGGTTCTTATTCCAGCATCAAGGATTCAGGAAATCTGGAGAAGGCTGTGCGTAGATTAAATAGGAGTCCAGAGACGAAGCATAATTTTGAAAGGCATTTGGGGGTCAGAGGAGCTTAGCTAAAGGAGCTAAGTTCTAAGATCTAAACCAAGGGTTCTCAACCTTCCTAATGCCGCGACCCTTTAATACAGTTTCTCATGTTGTGGTGACCCCCAATCATAAAACTATTTTAGTTGCTAATTCTAACTGTAATTTTGCTACTGTTATGAATCGTAATGTAAATATCTGATATGCAGGCTGTATTTTCATTGTTACAAATTGAACATAATTAAAGCATAGTGATTAATCACAAAAACAATATGTAATTATATATGTTTTCCGATGGTCTTAGGCGACCCTGTGAAAGGGTCGACCCCCAAAGGGGTCGTGACCACAGGTTGAGAACCGCTGGTCTTAGGAGAGTCAGGCCCAGGCGACATTCACCCACTGTCCCATCTGAATGCCTGGGGCCTCTTGCAGCACAGACTGTGGGCCTGGGGCCTCCCCTGTGGTCCGCCCACAGGTCTGCACTGTGAGCAGAGACCTGATGGAGGGAAGCAGGGAGGGGCTGCTCCAACCCTGATAGAGTCAGAGGGACTGGATGACCTTCCCGCCAGGGCCACACCAAACAATTAGCAAATCGTGGAGCCATGGTATTCAGATGCTGGACTTGAAGATCACAGAACAGGGACCCCTGAGGGAGGGGAACAAAGACAGTGAGTCTCACAGTCGGCCCGAGTCACCGCCATGAGAGCATGTCCAGGCCCTGGTGCAAAAATGGAAAACCAAAGCACTCCATGCACCCCTGAGTCAGAGGCAGCCCTGGGATTTGGGGGAGCCCCAGGGCAGCTAGTGATTATGGCCAGAGTGACAGAGAGGGGAGACCTTCCCTGAGTCACTCTTGGTCCTCAGAGGGTCTCCCTCAAGTGTCAGCTAAGTAATGGTCAGCAACCCCATGTGAGTCTGGGATTGAGGAAATCCACAAAACTAGAGGGCTCATCCCAGACACCAAACATGCCCACAGCAGCGCCTATTCCCTCCTGCCAGGTGGAACACGGTCCTGATTCAGGACATCGGGAGACCACTCAGGGGGCATTGCCTCCATTGTGGGTAAAATGAGCCCCAGTGGTTCAGTCCTACCTGACAAAGCTGATAGCAAACTCTAAAGAATGAGCCATTCCCAAGAATTTTTAGAATTTTCTGCATTTAATATGATAGCATCTGTGAACACAGATTATTTTGCTTTTTTCTGATTTAGATGCTGTTTATTTCTTTCACTGTATCTGCTTTCCCAGAGTTTCCAGTCCTATGGAGAATGGAGGTGGCACAAGTGGGCATTCTTATCTTGTTTCTGATCTTAGAGGAAAAGCTTTCAGTCTTTCAAAATTGAGTGTGATGTTTGCTGTAGGTTTTTCAGACATATTCATTTTTTATTCATATACATTTATATATATGCTGTTTCCTTCCAGTTCTAGTTTGTTGAGTATTTTTACATACAACTATCATATATAGAACCATCCTTGCATTTCAGCAATAGATCTCTCTTGGCTGAGGTGTATAAATCTCTTAATCTGCTGCTGAATTTGATTTGTTAGTAATTTGTTTAGTGTTTTTACACCAATGTTCATAGGGGCTATTGACCTATACCTTTCTTTTCTTGTAGTGTCTTTTTCTGGCTCTGATATCAGTAATCCTGGCCTCAGAGATTGAGTTAGGGAAGGTTCCCTCTGAAGTTTACAGTGACCTAGGAATGAACAAAAAATCCTTAACTTGCCCTGACTGGTTTGGCTCATTGGATAGAGCGTCGGCCTGCGGACTGAAAGGTCCCAGGTTCGATTCCAGTCCAGGACATGTACCTTGGTTGTGGGCACATCCATAGTAGTAGGTGTGCAGGAGGCAGCTGATCGATGTTTCTCTCTCATCGATGTTGCTAACTATCTCTCTCTCCTCTCTGTAAGAAGTGAATGAAATATATTAAATAATAAAAAAAAAGAAATGCTTACTGCATGCCCTGGCTGGTTTGGCTCAGTGGGTAGAGCATCGGCCTGTGGACGGAAAGGTCCTGGGATCGATTCCCGTCAAGGGCACATGCCTGGGTTGTGGGTTTGGTCCCCAGTGGGGGCATGCAGGAGGCAGCCAATCAGTGATTCTCTCTCATCATTGATGTTTCAATCTCCTCTCCGTCGCCCTTCCTCTCTGAAATAAATAAAAGTATAATTTAAAAAAAAAATCCTTAACTTGATATAAGGCATCTATGAAACTCTCACAGCCAACACCACACTCCATTGAAAAGACACTTTTCCCTGAGACTAGGAATAAGACACAGGTGGCCCCTGCCATCACACTATTCAGCCTCATACTGAGGGTCTGAGCCAGCAGAACAAGACAAGAGAAAGAAGTAAAGGGCAGGCATATTGGTAATGAAGAAATAAATTGTCTCTATTCACAGAGGACATGATTGTCCACATAGAACACCCCCAGGAATCTACAAAAGGTCTCTTAGAAATATAAGACTTTGGCAAGGATGAAGAATGCAAACTTAAAATAATAAAAATTAATTGTACTTCTACACGGAGGTGGGCAAAAGGAGATTTACAGTTATCAGTGAACGAAACAGAGCTTATTCTTATGTTATTCTTTGTTTTTTAAAAATTGTATCATTTATTTGTATTACTTGTCTCATTATTATTGTTATTATTTTGCATCCTTACCTATGATTTTTGTTTTAGCTAATGATGACTGGTAATTTAATATACTTTTGCCCACCTCCATATAATATTAATAAACAATTGGATTTCAAACTTTTTGTTTAAAACTATGACTTACAACAAAATAAAAAATGAAAACTAGCATAAATGTAACATAATGAAAACTATAAAAACACTGATGAAATGAACCGAAGAAGACATGAATAAATGGAGAATTAGAGCATCTTCACAGGTAGAGACATTGTGATGCCAGTTACCTTCGCATTGATCTGTAGATTCAAGGCAATCCCAATAAAAATAGCAGCAGAATTATTTTTTGTTATCAATAAGCTGAATGTAAAAGTATTTGGAGGGCAAAGGAGCTCAAATAGCCAAAGCTATTGTCATTCTTGCTGTTGGAGACCCTCGTCCGTCTACCTTCCCCTTTACTGCGTTCCGCTGTGGCTGGTGCGCCCTCCTCAGCCGCCTGTGTGTGGGGATGTCCAGCAGCGATGAGCAGCAGAGCCCCAATTTCAGCCCCTGCTGCCCTGCCTCTGACTCTGGGATTCAAACCATCCCTTGCAATGTCAGGGAGAACAGCTGGCAGTGGAGCACGGCAGGGCGGGTGGGGGTGCCAGCGCTCCCCCACTCCAGATGTTTCCAGGGGTGTTTTCTTAGGAAACACACACAGGGCAGGGGGCCAAGCCCCTCTTCAACAAAACAGACTTTTTACAAGCAGCAGACTCTTTCCTGGAAATAATCCAGAGGAAATACGGGCGCCCAGGACTCAGCTCAAAATATCAACAAGGAAAGGAGGCGTGGGGAGCCTCCTGCTTAGAAAACAAACACCAGGAGGGTATAAAAGCCAACAGCCCTGGGCATCTTACACACTCACACTCACTCACACACTCACACACTCACACCCTCCTCCAGCCCCACTGCCCCACCATGGCCGCTTCCAACCTGTCCGTCTGCTCCAATGACCTGAGCTATGGCAGCCGGGCCTGCCTGCCCGGGTCCTGTGACTCTTGCATGGACTCCTCCTGGCAGGTGGACGACTGTCCAGAGAGCTGCTGTGAGCCCTCCTGCTGCACCTCCAGCTGCTGCCAGCCTTCCTGCTACACCTCCAGCTGCTGTGTCCCCAGCTGCTGCCAGCCTTCCTGCTGCACCCCCAACTGTTGTAACCGGACCCCCTGCCTGACCCTTGTCTGTGCCCCAGTGAGCTGTGTGTCCAGCCCCTGCTGCCAGGTGACCTGTGGGTCCAGCCCCTGCCAGTCAACCTGCACCAGCTCCTGCACACCCTCGTGCTGCCAGCCCTCCTGCTGCACCTCCTCCCCCTGCCAGCAGGCCTGCTGTGTGCCCGCCTGCTGCACACCTGTCTGCTGCACACCCGTCTGCTGTAAGCCAGTCTGTTGTACGCCTGTCTGTTGCACACCTGTCTGCTGCACACCCATCTGCTGCAAGCCCGTCTGTTCTGGGGCCACCCCCTGCCCAGCCCCTTCGAGCTGCTGCAGACCCTCCTCCTGCGTGTCCCTCATCTGCCGCCCCCGTGTGCAGGCCTGCCTGCTGCGTGCCCGCCTCCTCCTGCTGTGGCCCCGCCTCCTCCTGCCAGCCCAGCTGTTGATGCCCGCCCATCCTCCTGCATGTCCCTGCTGCTGAGCAAACATGTCCCCCAGGACCAGCCTGGCTGAGTTTTCACCCTGTGACTGTAGTCCTCCCAGCCGCCCCTCAGTCTGGTCCTGAGCAGTGTCAGGTGGCTGCCCCCACTCAGGACGGGGAACCTCAGTCTCCACTAACCTGACCTGACCTCTGCCCTCAGGACCCCTGGACCTCACTGCTCCCTGGGCTCCTGCCTCCTACACGATGCCTCCACCTGCCTCAGGGCCACCTGTCCTTCCCTCCTAGTTTCTCTGTTGAGTCACTTGACCTCTACTCTCAGCTGGTCAGCACCTCCTCGGGCTCCCAATAAACTCACCTCAGCACCTGATCGCTTCCTTCTTCTGATTTCATGGGGGAGGGGTGGGGCCAGTGGTTTTCACCAGACATTGTCTTCTTCAGCCACGGATATTTCTAGAAATGAGTGGCTGAGAGATCCCAAAGGGCAGTGGCCTAACTCCTCCTGGTGGGGCGCCAGGGCCCGAGGTCAGTGCCTGCTGGGCCTGTGCCTGGACTTCCTCAGGCTGGTCTCCTGCAGAAAGTCATGGTCTAGGAGTGTCAGGCCAGGGGCCATTCACCCACTGTCCCATCTGAAACGCCTGGGCTCCTTGCAGCACAGACTGTGGGCCTGGGGCCTCCCCTGTGGTCCGCCCACAGGGCTGCACTGTGAGCAGAGACCTGATGGAGGGAAGCAGGGAGGGGCTGCTCCAAGCCTGATAGAGTCAGAGGGACTGGATGACCTTCCCGCCAGGGCCACACCAAACAATTAGCCAAATTGTGGAGCCATGGTATTCAGATGCTGGACTTGAAGGTCACAGAACAGGGATCCCTGAGAGGGGAACCAACAGAGTGAGCCTCACAGTTGGCCCGACTCACCGCCATGAGAGCATGTCCAGGCCCTGGTGCAAAAATGGAAAACCCAGGGGCTCCATGCACCCGTGAGTCAGAGGCGGCCCTGGGATTTGGGGGAGCCCCAGGCAGCTGGTGTTTATGACCAGAGTGACAGAGAGGGGAGTCTGCCCTGAGTAACTCTTGGTCCTCAGAGGGTCTCCCTCAAGTGTAAGCTAAGTAATGGTCAGCAACCCCATGTGAGTCTGGGATTGGGGAAACCCACAGAACTAGAGGGCTCACCCAGACACCAAACATGCCTACAGCAGCGCCTATTCCCTCCTGCCAGGTGGAACATGGTCCTGATTCAGGACATCGGGGAGACCACTCAGGGGCATTGCCTCCGTTGTGGGTAAAATGAGCCCCAGTGGTTCAGTCCTACCTGACAACGCTGATAGCAAACTCTAAAGAATGAGCCATTCCCAAGAATTTTTAGGATTTTCTGCATTTAATATGATAGCATCTGTGAACACAAATTATTTTGCTTTTTTCTGATTTAGATGCCATTTATTTCTTTCACTGTCTATCTGCTTTCCCAGAGTTTCCAGTCCTATGGAGAATGGAGGTGGCACAAGTGGGCATCCTTATCTTGTTTCTGATCTTAGAGGAAGAGCTTTCAGTCTTTCAAAATTGAGTGTGATGTTTGCTGTAGGTTATTCCTACATATTCATCTATATATTCATAAATACTTATATATATGCTGTTTCCTTCCATTTCTAGTTTGTAGAGTATTTTTATCATGAAAGTGTGTTGAATTTTGTCAAGTGTGGAGGGTTTCTTTGCATCAGTTGAGACGGTCATAGATTTTCCTCCTCATTCTATCAGTGTTGTATATTACACTGATCAACTATCACATGCAGAACCATCCTTGCATTTCAGCAATAGATCTCTCTTGGGTGAGTGTATAAATCTCTTAATCTGCTGCTAAATTTGATTTGTTAGTATTTTTTGAGTGTTTTTACATCAATGTTCATAAGGGATATTGACCTGTAGCTTTCTTTTCTTGTAGTGTGTTTGTCTGTCTATGGTATCACATTAATACGGGCCTTATAGGATGAGTCAGGGAGAGTTCCCTCTGAAGGTTACAGTGACCTCGGGATGAACAAAAATCCTTAACTTGATATAAGGCATCTATGAAACTCTCACAGCCAACACCACACTCCATTGTAAAGACAACACTTTTCCTTGAGACTAGGAACAAGACACAGATGTCCCCTCCCACCACACTATTCAGCCTCATACTGAGGGTCTGAGCCAGAACAAGACAAGAGAAATAAGTAAATGGCAGGCATATTGGAAATGCAGAAATGAAATGGTCTCTATTCACAAAGGACATGATTGTCCACATAGAACACCCCCAGGAATCTATAAAAGGTCTCCTGGAAATATAAGAGTTTAGCAAGGTTGAAGAATGCAAACTTAAAATAATAAAAATTAATTGTAGTTCTATACGGAGGTGGGCAAAAGGAGATTTACAGTTATGAGTACATGAAACTGAGCTTATTCTTATGTTGTTGTTTGTTTTTGAATAATTTTATTATTGATTTGTATTCTTTGCCTCCTTATTATTGTTATTATTTTGTATCCTTACCTATGATTTATATTTTAGCTAATGATGACTGGTAATTTAACCTACTTTTGCCACCTCCATATAATATTAATAAAGAATTGGATTTCAAACTTTTTGTTTAAAAGTATGACTTACAACAAAATAAAAAATGAAAAATAGCATAAATCTAATATAATGAAAACTATAAAAACACTGATGAAATGAACTGAAGAAGACATGAATAAATGGAGAATTAGAGCATCTTCACGGTGGAGACATTGTGATGTCAGTTACCTTCAGATTGATCTGTAGATTCAAGGCAATCCCAATAAAAATAGCAGCAGAATTATTTTTTGTTAGTAAAAGTATTTGGAAAGGCAAAGGAGCTCAAATAGCCAAAGCTTTTGTCATTCTTGCTGCTTGAGACCCTCGTCCGTCTATCTTCCCCTTTACTGCGTTCCTCTGTGGCTGGTGCCCCCTCCTCAGCCGCCTGTGTGTGGGGATGTCCAGCAGCAATGAGCAGCAGAGCCCCAATTTCAGCCCCTGCTGCCCTGCCTCTGACTCTGGGAGTCAAACCATCCCTTGCAACGTCAGGGAGAACAGCTGGAAGTTTAGCACAGCAGGGCGGGTGGGGGTGCCAGCGCTCCCCCACTCCAGATGTTTCCAGGGGTGTTTGCTTGGGAAGCACACACAGGGCAGGGGGCTAACCCCCTCTTCAACAAAACAGACTTTTTACAAGCAGCAGACTCTTTCCTGGAAATAATCCAGAGGAAATACGGGCGCCCAGGACTCAGCTCAAAATATCAACAAGGAAAGGAGGCGTGGGGAGCCTCCTGCTTAGAAAACAAACACCAGGAGGGTATAAAAGCCAACAGCCCTGGGCATCTTACACACTCACACTCACTCACACACTCACACACTCACACCCTCCTCCAGCCCCACTGCCCCACCATGGCCGCTTCCAACCTGTCCATCTGCTCCAATGACCTGAGCTATGGCAGCCGGGCCTGTCTGCCTGGGTCCTGTGACTCTTGCACGGACTCCTCCTGGCAGGTGGACGATTGTCCAGAGAGCTGCTGTGAGCCCTCCTGCTGCACCTGCAGCTGCTGCCAACCTTCCTGCTGCACCTCCAGCTGCTACCAGCCTTCCTGCTGCACCTCAAGCTGCTGTGTCCCCAGCTGCTGCCCCCAGCTGCTGCCAGTCCACTTGTTGCACCCCTACCACCTGCCTGACCCTTGTCTGTGCCCCAGTGAGCTGTGTGTCCAGCCCCTGCCAGTCAACCTGCACCAGCTCCTGCACGCCCTCATGCTGCCAGCAGTCTAGCTGCCAGCCCTCCTGCTGCACCTCCTCCCCCTGCCAGCAGGCCTGCTGTGTGCCCGCCTGCTGCACACCTGTCTGCTGCACCTCCTCCCCCTGCCAGCAGGCCTGCTGTGTGCCCGCCTGCTGCACACCCGTCTGCTGCACACCCGTCTGCTGTAAGCCTGTCTGTTGTAGGCCTGTCTGTTGCAAACCTGTTTGCTGCACACCCATCTGCTGCAAGCCTGTCTGTTCTGGGGCCACCCCCTGCCCAGCCCCTTCGAGCTGCTGCAGACCCTCCTCCTGCTGTGGCCCTGCCTCCTCCTGCCAGCCCAGCTGTTGATGCCCGCCCATCCTCCTGCATGTCCCTGCTCTGCCGCCCCGTGTGCTCTCACCCAGCCTGCTGCGTCCCCACCTCAGCCCAGACATCCTGCTGCTGAGCAAACATGTCCCCCAGGACCTGCCTGGCTGAGTTTTCACCCCGTGACTGTGGTCCTCCCAGCCGCCCTCAGTCTGGTCCTGAGCAGTGTGAGGTGGCTGCCCCCACTCAGGACGGGGAACCTCAGTCTCCACTAACCTGACCCGACCTCTGCCCTAAGGACCCCTGGACCTCACTGCTCCCTCGGCTTCTGCCTCCTACGCGATGCCTCCACCTGCCCAGGGCCACCTGTCCTTTCCTCCTAGTTTCTCTGTTGAGTCACTTGACCTCTACTCTCAGCTGGTCAGCACCTCCTCGGGCACCCAATAAACTCACCTCAGCACCTGATCGCTTCCTTCTTCTGATTTCATGGGGGAGGGGTGGGGCCAGTGGTTTTCACCAGACATTGTCTTCTTCGGCCACGGATATTTCTAGAAATGAGTGGCTCAGAGATCCCAAAGGGCAGTGGCCTAACTCCTCCCGGTGGGGTGCCATGGCCCGAGGTCAGTGCCTGCTGGACCTGTGCCTGGACTTCCTCAGGCTGGTCTCCTGCAGAAAGTCATGGTCTAGGAGAGTCAGGCCCAGGGGCCATTCACCCACTGTCCCATCTGAAATACCAGGGGCTCCTTGCAGCACAGACTGTGGGCCTGGGGCCTCCCCTGTGGTCCGCCCACAGGTCTGCACCGTGAGCAGAGACCTGATGGAGGGAAGCAGGGAGGGGCAGCTCCAACCCTGATAGAGTCAGAGGGACTGGATGACCTTCCCGCCAGGGCCACACCAAACAATTAGCCAAATTGTGGAGCCATGGTATTCAGATGCTGGACTTGAAGGTCACAGAACAGGGACCCCTGAGAGGGGAACCAACAGAGTGAGCCTCACAGTCGGCCCGACTCACCGCCATGAGAGCATGTCCAGGCCCTGGTGCAAAAATGGAAAACCCAAGTGCTCCATGCACCCCTGAGTCAGAGGCAGCCCTGGGATTTGGGGGAGCCCCATGCAGCTAGTGTTTATGGCCAGAGTAACAGACAGCGGAGACCTGCCCTGAGTAACTCTTGGTCCTCAGAGGGTCTCCCTCAAGTGTCAGCTAAGTAATGGTCAGCAACCCATGTGAGTCTGGGATTGGGGAAACCCACAGAACTAGAGGGCTCATCCCAAACACCAAACATGCCTACAGCAGCGCCTATTCCCACCTGCCAGGTGGAACATGGTCCTGATTCAGGACATCGGGGAGACCACTCAGGGGCATTGCCTCCGTTGTGGGTAAAATGAGCCCCAGTGGTTCAGTCCTACCTGACAACGCTGATAGCAAACTCTAAAGAATGAGCCATTCCCAAGAATTTTTAGGATTTTCTGCATTTAATATGATAGCATCTGTGAACACAGATTATTTTGCTTTTTCCTGATTTAGATGCCGTTTATTTCTTTCACTCTCTATCTGCTTTCCCAGAGTTTCCAGTCCTATGGAGAATGGAGGTGGCACAAGTGGGCATCCTTATCTTGTTTCTGATCTTAGAGGAAAAGCTTTCAGTCTTTAAAATTGAGTGTGATGTTTGCTGTAGGTTATTCCTACATATTCATCTATATATTCATATATACTTATATATATGCTGTTTCCTTCCAGTTCTAGTTTGTTGAGTATTTTTACATACAACTATCAGATGTAGAACCATCCTTGCATTTCAGCAATAGATCTCTCTTGGCTGAGGTGTATAAATCTCTTCATCTGCTGCTGAATTTGATTTGTTAGTAATTTGTTTAGTGTTTTTACATCAATGTCCATAGGGGCTATTGACCTGTACCTTTCTTTTCTTGTAGTGTCTTTGTCTGGCTCTGGTATCAGTAATCCTGGCCTCAGAGATTGAGTTAGGGAAGGTTCCCTCTGAAGTTTACAGTGACCTAGGAATGAACAAAAAAACCCTTAACTTGCCCTGACTGGTTTGGCTCATTGGATAGAGTGTCGGCCTGCGGACTGAAAGGTCCCAGGTTCGATTCCGGTCCAGGACATATACCTTGGTTGTGGGCACATCCATAGTAGTAGGTGTGCAAGAGGCATCTGATCGATGTTTCTCTCTCATCGATGTTTCTAACTATCTCTCTCCCCTATCTGTAAAAAGTGAATAAAATCTACACTAATAAAAGAGAAACATGGTAATTGGCGTTGGACCGCTACCCTTCCCATTGGCTAATCAGCATATCCTTATGCCAATTGACTGTCAGCCAAGATGGCGGCCGGCAGCCAGGCAGCTGGAAGCGAACATGAGGCTTGCTTGCTCCAGGGACTGCAGACTCCAACGTTCCCCGCCTGACTTGCCGGCCTCTGAGTTGCAACTCTAAGCAACTATGTACTATGTTGCAAATGTAGAAACCAGCTTTCAACCTGCCGGGATCTCAGAGCTGAAGTTATACATTATTTCGATTATAGCAGCGGAAGCCTCAGAGCTAGAGCCAGAGCTAAAGCTGGCCCAGAATAAAAAAAAAAAGAAAGAAAAAGAAACAAAGGAGTGGTTGGGAGCTTCAGTCAATTGCCAGCCTGAAAGTAGCCCTCAGCTCCTCACCCAGACTGGCCAGGCACCCCAGTGGGGACCCCCACCCTGATCCAGGACACCCTTCAGGGCAAACCAGCCGGCCCCCAGGCCTCCATCCTATATAGTAAAAGGGTAACAAGCCTCCCAGCACCGGGATCAGCGGAGCCTCGAGGCCTCCTGGCACCGGATCAGCGTGACAGGGGGCAGTGCCCAAACC